GGTCAGATGGTCACTTCTTGCTTGTCACTCTATGACCTTTCCTGCTGCTTCCAGTTCGCTAATCTTTCTTTCTGCCTTCCAGCAGGACTTGGAAGGGAAATAATTCACTTGTTAGCGTGATTCATTTCAGAGCTCTGCTTAGCTGAGGGGAAGCAGATGGAGTTCCTAGCCAGAGTGGTGCTCCCCAGGGTGGGCAAGTCCCATCTAACCCACACTGTGGAACACCCATGGGACAATGCCACTGACCAACCACAGTGCCCATCAGACCTAGTTCATCATCCCTGGGCAGGGCATCTGGCAGTAATGCCAGCACAGCGACCAAGCTACGCTGTCCCCTGTGCTAGTGGGTGTCTAGAAACTGTGCCCCTGGATCATGCCTAGAGCCTCTACTCTCTTTTGGTGCCTTCTTCCTACATATTGGATCCTACTCACTAAGCACAGGCTGGATCTGGCCTTTGAAGCCTGAACCCCACCAAACATACCTGTGTGCCTCCTGTATAACGCTGACCTCATTGCTAACAGCCTTTTCCTCCCCTTCAAAGAGAGGATGAGGGAGTAACTCCCTGTTGGGGCAGAGTAGGAGCAATGCTGAGCAGAGGTGGGCCCTGGTGGCTGAGCAATGTGGAAGGCATGGGAGCATGTCTGCCCTACACCCTGTTGCTCTGTTCTTCCTCCTTCACAAAGATAGCAGCTGTTGGGAAGGGTCTGCTCAGAGGTCAGAGGATAGTTCAAGGTGTTTCATCCCTGAATCCCGGTTTTCCATACAACCCTTGGCCATGCCCTATCTTTGAGAGGATTGTTCTCCAAGTGCAATATCATCATCTTTAATTAGGATTGGTTGTATTGTACCAGCATCCCAAGTGGTCTGAGGGTGAGGACTGAGGTGTGAGGCTCAGGTATGTCTGCAGTGGGTAGGAGCACCTCTGCCCAGGGCTGACCATACCTGTACAGGACAAGTGGTAGAATACCCAGGCAGACCTGGGAGGAGATGGAGGCAGACACCCCCACTTTGGCAGAGAGGGAAGAGGAGGAAAAGCCCAGTCTTTTCCTTGAGATGCTAAACGTAGGGGCCAGGGAAGCACAAACACTGTGACTTCTCACTAAGGTTCCCCAGGTACATCTCAGGACCTCTGAAAGAAATCTACATCTCCCATTTAATTCAGCTGAGTAATTCAGCTTGATAAATATCAGGCTGATTTGTAAGAACTATTAGTTGGCCTTGTGGCAACTTAGTGGGAAATCAACTACTGATTACCTAAATCTGAGTGTCTACAGCATATCCTTATGAGCAGTAGGGCAGGAAGGAGTGAAACCAACCTCACCACTCCAGAAAAGTAGTAGCTTAGCTCAATAAAAAACATGTTTCTAGCACAGGATAAGGTGATCAGTGCCAGATGATTTTTTATAGTGCAAGCTCTGTGTCCACTGGGAATAGACTGTATCAAAATAAACATGTGCAACCTTTCTTCTGGAGAGTCCCTGGAGCGAGCTGGCACTCTGCCTGAATCACTTCTTTCCCAAGCAACTATTCATTGTATGAATGAATGTGGGGGGATGTTTGTGCTATAATTCTCCATCTTATAACTAAGCCAGGGGTACGTGATTAACAGTTTTAGCCAGTCTTTTGTTTCCAAAATGCCATTCTTCCCTACTTGTGTATAAGCATCTTCCTGTGTGTTTGTCTGAATACCACCCTGATGGGAGTACATGAGCTTTCTCCTTGTTCCAGGTAGTTCCTATCTTTTTGAGTGATAGTCTTCACTCTTTTATGATAATGATGATACTAATGAAGCTCTGAATGTGACTGTGACTCTGCCAGCAAGAGTTACATCATGTGGTGTTCTTACCTATAGGTTTCCAAGTTGCCTTCGTTATCGTGAAAGGATTCTTCACATTTTGAGAAATACTTGTGCCACTTGCTTTTTTATGTCACTTCTTTGCAGGGAAACTGTGGCACAGAGCCTTGGTATTTACTGCCTGCCTCCATCATTGGAATGAGTCAGAATTTTCTCCTAAACCAAGAGACAGTAGGTTTCCGGTTTGCAGTTTGGGACCTTCACAGCTCAGGGACTGGGAGGATAACATAAAGCAAGCAGGTAGCACTAAGCACATACCTAAGCTCCATGCCATGGGTTTCTCTGTCAGGGTGTAAGGAGAGGGCTCTGGTGGGGCTCTAGAGAGGGATGGCAATACCAGTTCACAGCAGTTGTATACTCTGATGTATCTATTTTATTGAGAACAGTTCTAATTTCATATGGTATATATGTACTAGCAAACACTGTTAGCAATGCTTATGATGCTCTAGAGATTTTGCCATGTGAGCAAACAGAAGCAAAATGACAATTAGATATTGTCTCATGCTAGCAACAGCGCAGCAGGTCCAGAATTTCATGTCAGTCAGTGAGAAACCTCGTTTACTGGAAGCTGGCCATGAATTGCTTTACAGATCTAGCCAAATCCTTGGCAGAACAGACCAGTTAGATCTGTTGCTCTCTCTCAAGAGTAGGGGCTTCCTGGCAGTGTAATTTCTTGATGGTTTACGGGGTACAGCTCTAGGAAGCTCCTTTCCATTAGGTGCGTTGTGCTTCTCCTAAAGAGCCGGGGCTGAGCAGCACCCATGCTGACTGTCTCGCCCAGCTCCATCCTTCCTCACAGCCACTCAGCACATTTGTCCACATATTCCTGCTTCCTATTGGGAATCTGTTACAACCAGAGGAAGCCTCACAGAAGCTTCATCTGTGAGGAAGACCTTTAGGGATTCAGGGAGAGCAGCTTCTGCTGCTGATACTACCCCAGTTTGATTGTCATACCCTAGATTCAACAAGTGGGCATGCAACAGAACATTTTGTGCTGTGCTGTGCTGTGCTGTGCTGTGCTGTGCTGTGCTGTGCTGTGCTGTCCTGTGAAGGTGGTGAAACACTGGAACAGGTTGCCCAGGGAGGTTGTGGATGTCCCAGCCCTGGTCTAGTGCAAAGTGTCCTCCCACCATTGGGAGATCATCTTTATTGTCCCTTCCTACCCCACTAACATCCTGTGATCCTATGATCTTAAGCAAAGGTTTAGCAAAGAAACACTGCAAAATCCTAAATCCTGCCATTTTAACAATGCCTTCTGTATTCTTAAATATCATAGGTTACAGTAAGTGAGCAAATAACAACAAAACACACTGAATATTATCACTACATTTTAGCCTGAATTATTTGAAAACACAGTGATTGTGATAACAGTTTCATTATGGGACTAAGCAAATAAACACCTAAAATATATGTAAAACACTGGGTAATAAAATTTTGCTGGGCTTATACATTTTCCTAGTCCAAAATATGAATTATGATATGGCTGACTTGCAAGTCAAAAGTCACGGCTGACTGTAGCTGTTTTGCAAGTCAAAACAAATTTTAGAAAAATCTAAAAACTACATGGTATTATTTGTTATTTTGTTCTGTATAATGGAATTCAGCAATTAAAATTCACCAGTTATGACTAAAAAAAGTAGTCCCTTGGCCTTCATATTTCCTGTTTATCCTTCACCAAAGTGCAGAGTGCCATTACGTAGTGGCTTCACCCTCCAGTCAGTGACCAGTGGCTCTAATTCCTCATAACTGATTTGATAAAAAGCTATGGAGTAGTTTAGTATTCTTAGCTATCTGTTAAGTAATGACCAGGTAGACTATTGCTGTAGGAGAACTAGTAACAGAAGCACTGGTTTTACTATGGTTACGTTTTCACTTTGGTTTTTTTCATAAAATATTCTTTAAGCAGACTAATTTATGTGTGACTCATATGTGGAAAATAACATGGGCTTAAATAAAGCCTAGCAATTAACTTCCTTCCTCCTCCCTTCCAATTTTATTCATGTCTTACATGTTGAGGACTCATTAAATGAGAAACATTGATTGCTGAAAAAGAGTTCTATCATTGCCTATCGTTACACCACTGCTTTGAAAATGAGGCTTTGACAATATCCAATGACATTGTGCTGCTGTTTCAGAAAATATTTGTGTGGGAGGCAGCAGCACATGGATTTTGCACCACGCTGAAGGGGTGCCAGATGCCATGAGAGGTGCAGTAGCACAGGGCTTCCTTCTTGGGCTGAAGTGGTTACAGATCAGGAGTCACTTTCTCATAAGGTCAAAGAGCCAAGGAGGGTGGGCAGTGAGCTAGTGACAAGTGATTCTGAGGCACTTCAGCTGGGCTGCTTTTGTATTTTTCCCTTGGCCTTACCTACACAAATTTACTTAATTTACCCAATTTGCCCTTTTCTCCTTTCAGCTCACACTGCTGGAGCAATTGAACTACAAAGCTGAGGTCACAACATTTTGGTGAAGATTAGCAAAAGGAGTGATGGGGATGGGACAGTCCCCATGCTTGGTGCCAGCATGGCTGGGCAGGTGGTCTGACGGGGCTGCAAGAGTGTTTTTTAGTATGGCTTAGGCAGTGGGATTTATAAGGACACTTTGAATTTGAGGTGTAATTCAGGAGAGTTACTACCATCTCTTTTGGCTTGGGGTCAGGATCCACAGAGGAGGATGAAAAGCTTCCCAGTAGGAAGAGCAGCTTGAAAAATCAAAGGCATCAGTGATGCCAGCTCTTGCACTGAAGATGGTTTTGATGGGAATGTGGGGGCAATGAGAATGCATTTCAGCTTGAGCAGATCCCAGGCTCATCCAGCCTACAAGTTTGCAGAGAGTAACCTCCACACAAAAAAAACATCCCCAAGAAGTGGCTGTTTTTGTACTGTGCTGATGCACCACGTATAGCCTGGGAGCCTTGATCCCTGGCAAGAGACCCTAAGGCTAGCATAATGCTCAGGAATAACATTACCCACAAAAGGTATTTCCTAAAATCAAGGACTGTGGCATAGAGCACTGCTGACACATTTATCTGACCTGAATATCATCACTGTGTTATTAAATTGAAATAGAGTGACTGAGATTAACCTGCAAATAGAGCTAACAGTATGACAGTTCATAATGATTCTTGCATTCCTTCAACAGAAAAAACTGCTTAGACAATCTAATGGATGAAGATGAGAAAGACAGGGCAAAGAGGTGAGTATCTTTTCTTTTATAACTCTCTGTGATGAGCTTGATACTGTTTGTTGCTGCAGAAGCTGTTTTATCCATAATCAATTAATCAAAGAGCAAGGGAGTAAAGTACAGTCAAACACAACTTGAAAAACTGCCATCTCACAGACTCCTACTCCTGTCTGCACTGTAAGAAAAAAATAACCTAGCAATGTTTCCTGTGGAAAATGTTAAAAAAGCCAAGGCATTGATCGTTTTCTTCACATTACTGCAGAACATCAGAACTGAAGCACCAACAACATACTTCCGCCACTATAATACATCATCTGAGCTTCCAGAGTGTACAGAAATGTTGTGGTTTCTTTTTCCTTTGAGTACATTTTGCAAAAGAAAAAGAATAGGAAAAGCGGGCATTTTTCCCTATTAGAATGGTCATTTATTCATTTATTCATCAGTGCCTATCACAGCAATGGAAACACCCAGAAGTTACCTTCGGAGCAGAGAAAGACCACGAAACGTCAGCCATAAACTGACAGAAACCTATATTCACGGACAGTCTGTACTCCATTGAGTCCCGGTTGGTGGGAATTCATTGTGAACCCTTTGTTGGGAGAGAAAAGGTGTGTTTCAAGGCAGATGATCTGTGGCAGTGAAACTCTTAATAACTGTCAGAGCTGACCAGCATCTGCAGAAAAGCAGTTTGGAAGCATTCGAGGTTATCAATGCCTCAGCCTGCAGTTTAATTACTTTAGAGATTGCCAGAGGTTGCCCACATTTTTCCCCTTGGTTCCCTCTAATGAGAGTATTTCCAGTCCAGGCACAAGCAGTTGATCCAGTTTCATCTCTTTTGATTCCTTCTCCCCTTCTTTCCCTCCCCGCAGCTTTGTCTCACCAATATAGGTCAGTACGGGCTGCAGCCAGGCTCAGCTGTTCCCCCCTGCTTCCTTTTGGAGGGTGCAGAAAGGAGCCCACCTTGCAGCACTGCTTCACCTGCTAAAGGGCTGATCATCTTCAAGATATTCATGTGCTAATTGTTTAGTAAAAAAAAATTCATTTAATGAATGCATATATGAAAAAAATAGGATAACGCATATCCTCGCTATCGGCAATTGTCATCACCATCTGGTATAGTTTTCATGCTGTTTGTTCCCAGAAGGAATTTTTGTCGTACCCTGGGGCAGGCCTCTATCAGGGTGCATAAAAAAGTTATAACTTTAAAAATTAATGAAAGGAAAGTGCGTCTTCAAATTGTAATTTAAGTTCATTTTGCTTTTTAAAGTTGAAATTGAGTTTGAAATCATGAGATGCTTCATGAAGATCTGAAGTTAATACATTATACTGAAATTGTTTAGATTCATTTAAAACCTACAGGTTTTTTTCTAGAGAGAGTCAGACTCAGGAGAAGCTATTTGATGAATATTTTGCTTCTGTGTCTTGTTAACTGAGTACTCTCACCTGCCCTGTGTCACAAGGGAAACTCTTTCTTTTCTTCCATTTGGTATAAATAAGGACTGGGTCCCTCAGGGCTGAGAAACACCAGAGGGGATTAAAAAGCCCAGGAAATGGTTCTTTCCTTTTATTTTCTCTATTAAAAGTAGGTGAGACTGAAAATTTCTGGACCTAGGTTTTTGGGATGGACTCAGGCCAGGAGCTGAGTTTCTCAGGTTAGGTGTGCGTAGAGATACACATACACGCCGTGTATATCTGCTGCAATTCATTAGGCACGTACAGGTTGTATTACACAAACATGAAAAAAGGATCCATCCTCTACTGAGAAGAGGCACTTGCACTCCCACCCCTGTGCCAGGTGTTCAGCATTTGGCCAAGATACATAACTCTTCCTTCAGGGAGAACACTGGTTAAATTGAGCCATGTTCTGCCTGACTCCCTAAGGCACAAATTCGCTCCAAAGATCTGAGGACTAAAATGTGGATATGATGGCACCACAGTTGGGATCATTGAAGACCTATGTGAGGTTTTCTAATCTTCTGAGATCAGATGCCATAGTTTCATTTTTAGTTCTTTGGTGCTAGATGAGGTTTATTTTAGTTATGAAGATTTATTAATTCTAAACAAAAGATGTGCTTTGTGCACTTTTTTCTCTGTTTGTTCTTCTTTCAGTTTGTTTTAATAGTAAACAATTTGAAAATACTTTTTTTACAATTCAGTTGAATTACAAATTCCAACCAGAACCAGCTTAAAGTGAACCATGAGAAAGTGCTTAATCATGAAGACTACTACATGCCTTTTTCCACTGAAATAAAAAGTAAATTTAGGAATCTGAATGAAGGTATGTGGTACAGTTACTTGCATTGATGAATATATAACACACTCCACAGGACAGCCAGAAGAAATCTGAAATTTAGTGTAAAGTCACATTTCATTGTAAATTAGTAAAATGTAGCATCCACAAGTCAGTCAATATCTGTTTAGGACAACAAGCAGCATATATGTAAGCGAATAAAGACGGCTGTTAAATGCTTGATTTTGACCATTCTGAATTCAGGCTGTTCTGTATTGCCTTTCGCTGTATTCACTGAAAGTCCTGATTTTATTCATACTGTGTCTCCTCCTTCCCCTTGAATATGCTGAAATCTTTGTTGAGTAGCAAGGAGGGAGGAGAACTGGGACAAGTAGTATGGAATTAAGACAGAGGTTGTTTGGGCTTACTGTAGTTGTATGCCCTAGCAGTGAAGTAAGCAAGGCTAGGAAATAATCTTCAAAGAGAAGTGATGAAAATTATCTTACTTCATGTATTTATAACTGTATTAAACAAAGTATTTTCAACTGTTCAGGGATAGTTTTTATCATTTTTTCTAATCTTTTCTCATTTTTTTTCCTTTTCAAAACTTTACTGTGATCATCGATTCATATCTTGGTAGAGTTATTTCCACTAGAGGAGTTTTTATATTTCCTTTGTGAACAAAATGTCAAGTGTTAAAAATAGATACTTTATTTTCTGTCAAGGCTTTTTTCTTATTTTTTGTTTTTAAAGCAACACACTCCCTATTAGCAGTTGGTGGTTTATTTTATTTTCAGAGAAATCTGGACTCATTAAGCTTAAAATTAATTTAGGATTGAATTATGAGGAAATAAAATGTTGATATTCTTAACGTTGCCATGAACTGTAGAGAAATAGGATAAGGCTGGAGCTTTTCACATCGTGTTCTGACAGCCTTTTGCAGTGTAATAAGAGCAAGCTGAAATCAGTCAGGCAGTATCCACCCAATCTCTTGTGTTCAAAGCTGTAAAATAATCAAGCATTGGCTTCCATCCAGTGTATCTCCAAGTGTGTTCAGGGTCGAGACCAAGACAAACAAAAATTACCCCTCTGTCAGTAGTAACATCCAGAAGCCTCTGTAGTGGTTTCTAGGCTGAAAATGTTTATCACCATCCTGGTCCTTGCAGGGGATGTAGATGCTGGGCTAAATTCTGCTCTGATTTTCAGCAGTGTGTATCCAGAGCTGCTTTGAGGCACAGCAGAGTTAGCTGGGACTGAGAAACTCAGAGTGAGAACTGGCCTCTTGGCTTTTCTTCCCCATTTACATATAACCAGATTTTTAGAGCTTTGCGTAATTGACGAGGCAAATCTCATCTGCTTGAGGACCTTTCAGAAGAACAAACCAACCTGCTGGGCTATACTTATTTCTATTTCCACATGGATACAGAAATCCAGGTGATAACCTCCAAGTCAAACAGTTGTTGTATTCATGAGAACAAGTCAGAAAACGCGTGTGTATAGATCGACATAGAGTTAAAAAAAAAACCAAAGTGTGCATGCTGAAAAGATTATCAACAGCCTTAATGACAGTATTATGATGGTGCCAAAATATCCCAAATGAAATCAGATACTTTCTTCCTTTGAGCTCTTGAAACACAGCAGCAGAAGCAGGCTCTTTCTGAGGAATCTGCAAGCTAAACAGACAAGACTGGTGAAGAAAGCTGTAGAGTCTTCGTTCTAAACCTTGAGACTTGGGCTCTGACACTGATTTTCCCAGTGGCACACAGAGATTTAGGGCAAGCTCTGCTGGCACTTCCAAGACCCCAAGTCTGGCAATGCATCCCAGGTACAGACCCAATCTATGGTGATGTCCTCTCTCCTGCTTGTCCTTGTGACTTTGGAAAGGAGACTGAGCAAAGTGGTATATAAACCAGATGGGAGCTATAGCAACTTCTACTCAGGTCTCTGATCTTAATGACTGGAAGACAGCATCCTGATTCTTCTCTGCCAGCCTGGAGGTAGGCAGAGCACCTGTAACCAAAGTGGGAAGATCTTCTAGATCAACCCAGCTCCAGTGCAACAGCTACAGAACTGTGGTCCTTCTCTTCTGTTAAATGTGCACAGATGGGTATGATCCAGTCTCCACTCTTCTTCTTTATGAACAATTTTACTGTTGTCACAGTATTCCTGTTTCTTCTCACTCTGAGTGCCTCCCCAGAGACTGCATGAAGTTTTGAGATCCTGCATATGTCTGGGAGATGGGCAGAGCTCCTTCAACTACAAGCTAAATGCTGTCCTGATAAGCTCAGGCAGAGTGTCCAGAGGCAGCACAGAGGAGTGAGCAGAGCCTCCATCTCCCTGCTGGGCACTAAAAGTGGCTCAAAGACAAGAGCAGGAGGTGGGAACTGTTGCCTCTACTTGCTTCTGCAGCTTTGCTGGAGTCCAGTGTCAATCTTGACACACTGATGTGTGCAGCAAGCTAATTTTATGTAGATACATTGCAAAGAGCAGGTACATGATCATTTTCCTTCTTGGTCTGCTCATCCTTTTTTTCTTTTCCCCTGTCTACAGGGCTTCGCGTAACAAGTCTGAGAAGAAGAGGCGCGATCAGTTCAATGTTCTCATCAAAGAGCTCAGCTCCATGCTTCCAGGCAACACTCGCAAAATGGACAAAACTACTGTGCTGGAAAAAGTCATTGGCTTTCTGCAGAAACACAATGGTAAGATTTAGTGCAGCTCTTCATGCACTTGCCAGACAGTTACTATAATATCCTGTTTCCTTCAGTGATTATCAGAATGGCTCGAGGGATCTAAAAGTGCCAACATAAGGTATTTGAGGTTTTTTTCTGTCTCATCAAAAATGATCATTTGCAGACACTGTGCTGCCCAAATCCATCTCCTTGTTTGCTCTTCAGCTGAAGAGGACTTTCAGCCTGCTAGAGAAGGGGGCAAATGGCAGTGACTGAGGGAAAGAGGGCAACAGTGCCCTGCAGCACTCATGAAGAACACAGATGCTTTGAACAAAGATTTGGGAGCAGAGGGAAGATTCCCTTACTTGAAATTTGTAATATTCTGAGCAGAAGAATAAAGCATTTGCCCCAGTTTCTCTGCAGAAAAAATGCAGGGAAGCAATCTGTTCAGCACCCCAGCTCCTCAGTGGACTGTGTAGGACTCAATTTTCCACACTGAGTAGAAAACTCAGACCAGAAAGCGCTTCTGTTTCTGAAGCTGGCATCAGCAAATTGCATCCACAGATAGTTGAGATTCTTCACCCAGTTTGCACAAGAAGAAGCTACATTGCATGTGCACAACATCCAGTTGCAGTAGTCAAATTCAGCATCCTAAAGTTGGAAGTTTATTTTTTAAAATGCTTGCACCAGTGACAGTGAAGTCTTGTAGAAATATACCTTCACAGAGGGCAGAGGAGATTTCCGACCCTGCTGATCTATTCTCTTTGGTCTAGTTTCTACTCAGAGGGAGGAATGTGCACTGTGGCCTTCCTGATGCTTTGACACCCACCAGTAGTGGTCAACTGACATGCTTCTCCCTTATAAATCAGGGCACTGGTTTAAAATGGGCCTGTCCTGCTCTGCCCTGTGAGGATGAGGTTTCAGTGGGTGACTGTGAGGAATGCCCCTGGTCTCAGAAAGCAGAAAGGGGTCTCACAAGATGATGCACTACATCGCCTGGCTTACCTTGGCTCATCCAGCACCTCCTTCCTGCACTCTCTGGAGAACTATGGGTGTAACTAGAAAGACCATTAAAACTCTTATATCATGACTCACAACAGACTGGAGTCACAAATGTCAGTCTTACTGAGGAAATAATTATAATGGTTCTGTCATTAGAGTGCAGTTTCTCCTTAAATGAATTTTTACCACAGATAGAATCATGCATTTGTTTAGGTTGGAAAAGACATTTAAGACCAATGAGTCCAACTGTTAACCTGTGGTTTTGTGCAGAAGGAGATGACCAGGACATCTCAAGGTTTAATAGTTATATACACTTATTAAAAAATTATAGCAATAACTTATCTTTTTATTTTTCGCTGCCAAAGGGCAAGAAAGATGTGAATATGCTCAGTTATAAAGCTAAGCAAAGAAAAATCACCCAAGATCTGAAATAAGTGTATAAGTGTAGCTGAAGGTCCAAATAATTTACTCCAGAAGGTGCTTTTCCGTGAAAAACAACTAGGTGAAGGAAAACTAGCAGTCACAAATCTTTCCACAGCAATTGGGTCAAAATGTGACTGGGGTTTGTGCACTTGCTAAAAAAGGCAAATGTTATTTATTTTTAAATCAGATTAGTAGTCACAGAATATAATACAAAGCATCAGCATTTAAAAGTGTTATTATCCTCAGCATACTTTGGATCTGGTTTATTGAGTCGTATTTCCCTTCTGTTTGGTAGGCTAAATCAAGATTTTAGTCATAACACAGAGGAGGAGGTAAATTTTCATATATTTTCCTTCATAAGCAGCCTCCTTCATTATAATCAACAGAATCTCCCAAATCTCAAGTAATTCTCCCAACAGTCACCATTTTATGTATGTTGGCTTTTTCAAACTACAGATCTGCTGAAAGTATCGTATATTCTGAAACTACTTTAAAAATCTGATGGACTCTTTTCTTAGTTAGGTTTTCAAACCTGTGTGTAAAACCATGGGGGCTGTGGAGAGTTGCTGTGCTGCCAGTGACAGCCCCCAGCAGTGCAGAAAGCAGGTCAAACAAGCTAGTAGGAGCAAACAGCTGCATCTCCACAAATGCAGCCTGGACAGAGGCTTTGATTTCTTTCTCAGTGACAAAATGCACAGGCACTCCAAGAAATGTACTGTCTTTAGTACCATTTATGCATTTGCATTTCTCTGGCCAGTTTGTCTATGTGCCTTGAATACAGAGCATTGAGTGTTACATGCTCTGGAAGTGTTAATCAACGGGATTAATTAAGGAGATGCTGAAAAGAGAAGACAGTCTGTGCTCACCATCCCCTCACTACTAGAGCTGAGTGAGGATGCACTCCTAGAGAAGCAGAGTGAGCAGCAAACTAAACCAGCTCAAGTTTTTCTAGAGCTGTCCCCCAGAATGCTGTCTGACTCAGAGCTAATGTAAGTGACTGTTTTCAAAGGCCAGCAGTGCAACCAGCTATCCCACTAAAGTCAGTACAAGTTGACTTGACTAAAAAACGAGGAAAACATTTCAGGCTTGAAAACTGCAATTTTTGAATACAAAGGTTATTTCTCTCTTTTCATAGCAACTCATATGTAATATATCAAGATAGAAGTTCATTTGAATTTTAAGAATGTAAATGTTTTACTTGTCTAGAAGTCTCAGCACAGACAGAGATTTCTGAAATTCAGCAGGACTGGAAGCCTTCATTCCTCAGCAATGAAGAATTCACCCAGCTGATGTTGGAGGTAAATATGCATATGTACCTTTCCTAATTTTGTCTAGCACTCATGGAAACACCCATGCATTTCAAACAAACTGTCATCTGCAGTTCAAAAATAGGATATTTTGGGAACTGCTGTATTTGACCGTCAAGCAGAGCTGTGACTGGGATTGAAGTCCCCACTTGCTGCTCTTCCCTCTCAGCAGCACTGTTGTGCTGTGCTGCCACAGCCTGCAGAGCTATGCAGTGACTCCCAAGAAAAGCAGTTGAGGGCAAAGATTCAAATCACAGGTTATATTTTTTTTTTACAAGCAGAGGTGAGGTGAAGGGCACGTGGCTGTTTTTTCTTTGTTCTTGGAAGGCGTTATTAACATCTAATATTTATGCAACAGTAGCACCTGAAACAGTGGTGTCACATCCCTCTAGTGCTAGGTGCTGAACAAGCAGATAAAGCCTGACAGCTCCTCTTGGCTTGATACAGTTGGTACTTCCACTCTGGTTTACAAGACCCTTATCAAACACTTCTTATTCTAGCATTTTGCAATCATAATTTTTAAATTATAGCATAGGATCTTTAAATGCTAGCTGAGATTTGAAGGGAGGTGACTCAGTGGTATTTATGTAGGTTCAAAATGAAAAGCAAATGAGTTGCTAGAATGCATTTTCCTCTCACAGTAATAGCTAGAACTGCCTTTAGCAAGGGTCTTCTCCTGTACTAAACACACAGATATTGCATAGCCCCACAGTGTCCTTTGAGAACAAGCTTCTTCTCCTCCCACAAATGATGTGAACATGGCACATGATCCAGGCTCTAGTGGTGGGCAGGGAAGGATGCTGGGAAACAACTTCACCACCAAGGAGTGGCATAAAGACGGGGCACGTTGCTGACTGCCAGGGGCTGGCAGTCCTTTGGCCATTGCAATTTGTTGTGATGAGACTCCCCTGGATTAGTTTTATGAGACACTTTGCTCCCATTGCTCTGACAACCACCCATTTCCATCTCTGTGCACAGGAACTTAACATACATATCTCTTTCAGTCTGCACTGAAATACGTCCCTCAGATAGCAATAAATTGACTGTTGTTTTGACAGGCTGGGCCTTTGTTGATTCTGCTTGTATGCTACACAATTTTAGATTAAAACAATCACTTTTGGTTTTCCAGCTTATAAATCACCTTCTTGCTACTGTGATTTTCCATGCCCTTCAAGATAACATTGGGTATTGGGATGTCCCGTTGTGCCACATGTTCATCATTCCCTGCTATTTTGCCTTCCTACAAATCTTACTTTATTAGCATTTGGACAAGACTGCTTGAAGTTTTTCCCATCCTGTTGTTAAAAGACAGGAAGGGCTTTTTCCAAGCACTAATTCAAAAGACTCAAGGCATAATTGACTGCAGTAATATATCAGCTTTCCTGAAAATGGCCTTTTCTTACCATATTGAAAAGGCTGTCACCAAATTACAGTGGGCATTAGGCTCTGTTTGTCCATCTAAGATTGATGCAAAAGTAAAACCTCTGAAGAGGAAAACGCTCTCTTAATGTTGGAATGTCCAGTCACAAGTAAATAAAAACAGAGTTATGTATGCACACATTAACTTGATTTTACCACAGAGTTCTGATATGAGTCACTATGTGTAATTTGCATTGGATATGAAATAACGACTTGATTTTTTAAAAACTAACAACCTTCACCATAGTAACATGCACGATCCAACTGCCTTGTAAAACCACTGCTCTCTTCTATGGGCTAACAGCTATCATGCTTTTTTAGAAAACAGCCTGAATGTACTGCACTACAGAAAAACATATTCTCTGCACCTAGATTAACAAAATCAAACTAGCTGTAGCAGCTGGAGGGTTTTCAGAGATGCTAAACACACACTCTTCTACTGGGGTATAAGTTATTGACTTGCTTTTCAAAGGATTGAAGCACCAGCAGATTTTCATTGACTTAAATAGTTGTGGGTGCTCAGCCTTCTCTGGAAAAAGGAACATATGTTTGTGTCTTTATTCAAGGCTTTGTGTTTTCCTTTTATTTTTTTTTTTTAATTATTTTTTTTTTTTGGTAACAATTAGCATTTTCCAGTATTCTCAGAATTCTTTCCCTTATTAAAGTCAGCGGGGAGGAAGGATGTGCTGTGGCTTACAAGATCAACTGCAAGTCTGGCTTGGAAGCAGGCCTGGATTTGCGGTATGGTTTTGTAACGCCGTGGCTCTCTGATCAGGCTGTTTGCAGTACACCTGTCTCCTGAGCAGGTATGGCCACTGGAGTAAAGTCAAACCCTGCTCTGAGTCAGTCGTGCTTGCAGTGCTTTGTTGCTCAAATACTGCTGGCGACTCTGACTCCAGAAGATCAGGGAACTGACAGGAAGGACCCAGACTTGCTCCACTTGAAGGGCTGGGAGCCTCACTGGTGACTCCCCAGTGGCAATGGGGAGGTTTTAATATATTCTCTGAGCATCTACTCTTGTGTCTTTTCTGAGGTGCTCTCCTTACAGTGATCTTAAGATCACCTAGCTTTAGTTCACACCGAGAAGAATACCCCGAAAAATTAAGTCAGTCTTGCCTTAGATCTCAAAATCTGTCTAGGTTTAATTTTGCACAAAACTTAGCTCAAAACTTGGCAGCTCAGACTAAAGAAGAGACTCATTTTGAAGGCAAAATTGCTCCTGTGCAGAGGGTGGGGATAAGGCTGACATTTCCCTTCAGTCCTAGGAGTGAAGGGGCTTACCAGAAGATGGGACCAAAGTGAGGAAGAAACTGCAGAAGGGTGAATTTCTCTTGGAATGAGTAATCTAATACCATGACCTTTAAAATAAATCACTCAATTAAAACTCAGGCTAAGGATTATTTGATCATTTGCATTGCTTTTACTTACATGAAAGCCCAGTAATATACAGTGTTACATTAATACAAACTGAGATTTATGGGGCTTGCAGGGAAGTACCATTTTGAGATAGGACTGCATCCTTTCATCGTCCTTTGATATTTACACAGAGCTCAAATGTTCATTTTAATAACTTCCAAGGGATCCAGTCTTAGTCATTTTGCATTATTAAAATGTGTGATTAATTTAAAAACTGAGACATGAAATGTTCCTGTGAGCCCTTTGTTGCTTCAATAGTAGGTTTTACTAGACTACAAAGAGTCTTGTAAAAGTTAAATCAGACTGTAAAATCAGAGAATTACTAGTTTGCAACTTGAGATAACATTACTACAACTTGATAACAATATGGTGCCAAAGTCAAACTGTTGTGATGAACACATGATGAGATGTCCTGTTTACACCACTCATGCCTATTAAAGCACTCTCAACTGTTTTCCTTAGGCATTAGATGGCTTCATTATAGCAGTAACCACAGGCGGAAGCATCATCTACGTGTCTGACAGCATCACACCTCTTCTAGGGCATTTACCGGTGAGTAATTCTGGCATTGGCTTTTCTACTACGCATTGTAGAACTGGGCACTGCACTTTTAGAAACAGATGTAAAACGGTGCTGGGGGTGGCGTTTTCCTCAAAATGTGGTGAAGGAGTTTGTCCCTGCGTTATGCTGGCTGCTACTGTTGCTCAGCTCTTCACTCTCTCTGTCTGATTCATACCCTTCAGGTTTTTGTTGCTACGAGGCACTTCAGCTTGAATGGAAAAAGCTCTGCAGGAATAGTCTGGCCAGGGGAGGGACAGGGTGACCTGGCTGATCTTTTCCATCTCTGATTTCTAAGCTAGCAGAGAATAGCACCAGTGCTGCTGGCAGCCCAGTAAGGAGCTCATTAAGGGCCTTATTCTGCTTCCAGGGAGGTAAAGGACAAAAATGTCATTGAATCTGGAGTGAGCCGGAGGCTGCTGACGAGCTCTCCCTGCAGCTCCACTGTGCTTTCCCAAGGGGAGCGCACGGTGGTCCCAGGAGGTGCTGGTGGAGCCAGTGCTGGGTGCATCCCTGCACCAGTCCAGTCAATGTTCTGGCACATTCAGTGTCTTTTATCTGTGTGCTGCTCCAGGAGACACCCCCCTGTGCATTGGCTTGGGCTGGAGGAGCAGGGGAGAGGAACTGCTCCAAGCCCTGCTCCTGTTGCTAAGGCTGCTCTAGGAGAAATGGCACAATAATTACGGATTAATCCTCATGCTCATTTTTAGTATCCTGGTCTCAAATAAATACATGCCCAGGAGAAAAAATTAGCTGCCAGATCATTATTGTACTACCCCCTGCCATGTTCTTAAGAAAATTATAATTCTCTTTCTCTTATTTAGTTTTTCCACCAAATATGTGTTATGTTTTCCACCCAGACAAATGTATTTCACAACACTACCTTGCTGGAATAAAAGCAAAAAATATTTTTTTTCTGAGACAAAAGGAACTTGATGGAGGAGCAGCTCCTGGTAAATGCAGAAATACTGCTATGCAACAACAGGTTGAACTGAGTCTATCTGTTTCAGTTTTCTTTCATCCTCAATAGTTTAAAAAACCAATACTTGACTATTTTCTGATATTTGCCTCACTTCAAGGGTGGGGAGAACTCTGTCCTACACACAGGCTGTAGGGTTTTCACACCCTTACTGATTTCCATGAAATTTCCTTGTCTTTAATCATTTGGAGGTTTCTATCCCTTCCAAATACTGATTCTTAGTGGAGATGAAAGATCTGCTGTGGGAAAGTATTCCTCTTCAGGAAGACACATTTCTGACCCTGTCCTAAAATCTGAAGCCCTGACTGAACATGGATAGATTCAGGTTTATAATTTGTGAGTTGGACCATCAGAAACTAAACTGGTTTTCTCTCCCAAAGACATGCTTTGTGTGATAACCTTACATAGTATCCAGCCCAAAATAAAGATGGACATTACTTTTTATTTGCATAGAAGCAGCACATGGCAGTCCAAGCCAGGGACCAGCCTGACAGGGTTGGAGGTGGAGCAGACCTTCCTGGAGCAGCTGGAGTGGTAATGGTTAACAGCTGCCCCGCCAGCCCACACATGCACAGGAAGCATCCCACAACTGAGCAAGTAATAAAGGCTTCTGCTTGCCCCAGGTTTGCAGATCGCTATGGCCATGGGCAGGGGCCCAGCTGAGGGTGCATCTAGGTGCACACTGGGTATTTTAGTCCTCTGTTGTCCTTGCCATTTGGGGTTCTTTTAAGTTTTAAAACTGATCAGAGTGCTGTCTGGAAAATCTGTGTGGCTTATTTTGTTTACCTTGATGATCTATTTGTAAGCTAAATTCAGTCACTGTTTGAGGGATGAAATACCAATTCTTTCTCCTCTGTGACAGCAGGAAAAAATACTCTGCAAATCTTCTGGTTTGAGAATGAAAGGAAAGCAAAACTGGGCAGAATGCATAGCAGGGCTCTCTGAGGGCCCCTGTTAAGGAAATCGTTGTATTTTCTTTCATTAAAATCATGAAAATCTCCAATGCTGAGAACTATATATATGTCCAGTTCTCTTTAACACAGCTTCCCTTACTTCCATGGAGCATTTTCAAACACAAACTTCCCCTGTTACAATTCTAAATATTTGTTTTTTAACAAGATCTGGAGACTACCCGTAGGGTCAGTTGAGATGGAGATGTCTAGCTCACGTGGTAAGGGTGAGTCTAACTAAAGTGAACTCATTGAAATCTGATCACAGCTCATAGCATTTGCCAGTCAGATGGTACACTACGACTCCAAGAATATGCAGTCTCTTGAGAAGGGCCCTCCCTGTCCCTTCTTGCCTGTTTTTCCAGAAGGTCCCTGGCAGGGCTGAGATTTCTCTTCTGGGGCTGCCCAGTGAAACTCAAGGAGCTGCTCTGCTGTGTTGGGTGCTTAAGGTAAACGCCAGGATAGATAAATCCAAGACATAGCACCTTACAATGTACAAAAGTTAAGTATGCTGTGTTGCTGTTACAGGGTAGCAGTGGGAATCAGTGCAGGATTTACAGATTGATACAGGGGCCAAATCCCAGCACACAAGTGCACAGCCATCTTTGTGTGTTGTCTTGATGGGAAAGAAACCTCTCTCACTTGCAGCCCTCCAATATCCCTTTTCTAGTGACCATGTTTGCTTAGTTCCTTTGCTTTTTTCTCCCTGCAGCAGGAATTTTTCCTTCTACGCATTTCCTCCATCCCCCAGTAAAAGCAATGAAATTATGAGGAAGAAGTTCCATTTTGGAGTAGAGCTGTTTTGTTGAAACTGCAGAAATATTTTAACTAGGCATCCCATTATTGCAGAACTTGATGCATTGCATTTAGAACAGACCAGCATCCACATAGGCAAAGGTGTTCTTTGGCTGCCTTAGCTTTCAGGAGTAAATACTCCAAAGCCTCACTTAGCAGGATCCATAGATTTGAAGATGCAGAGTAGATTCCAGGCTTAGCAGCATAACTATGCTATAGTTACACAGTTAAATAGTTATATAGTCAACTATAACATAGTTCATCTGACAAGTCTACCCGCAGTCACTGTAGTCTATCTTGTATCTGCTTTGCCTATCTCATTCAGCAATACTCTGTAGCTGTCTCAGCCAGTGGCACAGAACTGCCCACTGCAGAATAATTAGACAGAGCTGCAAACCAGTCCCCTCTAACAGATCCATTTATATCACTGATGGTCAAATTCCGCCAACAGAATCAGGTCAGAAAAGACCTGCAAAAAGTCCAAGCTTTGACCTAATACCACCATGCCCACTAAAACAAAGTGCAATGTCCATTCATTTTTTGAACCCTTCCAGGGATGGTGATTCTACCACTTTCCTGGGCAGCCTCTTACCATGCTTAATCACTCTCTTGTGAAGAAATCTTTCCTGATGTCCAGGCTGAACCTCCCATGCTGCAGCTTGAGGCCACTTCCCCTTGGCTTGTCATTGGTTGCCTGGGAGAAGAGACCAACCCCCACATCACCACAACCTCCTTTCAGATAGTCATAAGAGTATGATAAGGTCTCCCCTGAGCCGCCTTTTCCCCAGGCTAAACAATTCTAACTCCCTCAGCTGCTCCTTATAAGACCTGTGTTCCAGACCCTTCTCCAGCTCCATTGTCCTTCTTTGGAGCTACGGCAGCTCAGTGTGAGGTGAATTGAGCAGCCCAGAACTGGACACAGCACTTGAGTTGTAGCCTCACCAGTGCTGAGTCCAGGGAGACAATCCCTGCCCTGCTCCTGCTGGCCACACTATTGCTGATACAGGCCAGGGTGCCATTGGCCTTCTTGGCCACCTGGGCACACACTGGCTCATGTTCAGCTGCTGTGGACCAGCACCTTCGTGTCCTTTTCCACCAGGCAGCTTCCCAGCCTCTCTGTCCCAGCCTGTAGCACTGCCTGGGGCTGTTGTGACCCAAGTGCAGGATGTGGTACTTTGCCTCATACAGTTAGTCTCAGCTCTCTGATCCAGTCTGTCCAAATCCCTTTGCAGAGCCTGTCTCACCACTCACCATTTTGCCATGACATCAGAGGTCTGCTCTTTGGGTCTGGTGCAGAATTAGCTCTGAACAGCTTGCTTGGCGTTTTCTACAGCTCCAGTGAGACAGTGGAATATTTGCTTCCATCCCTCTGTTTGACTTAGCAATGTATTCTGGATTGACATATTGATTCAAGAGCATTGTTGAAGTCTTGATATGTACAGAATCCAGAAATTCTGTTCTGTGCACTCTTTTACAGGTGTGCCAAATCTCTGCAAGAGGCAAGAATTATGAAAGTAAGAAGTAGAAAACTTAGCAATTTTTTCAAACTCATTAAAAAAAAGTTGGTACTTCCTATGATCAAAGATGCAAACCAAATATTAAATTGTGGATATGGTACATGATGGCAGCAAAAACTGTAAATACCAGGGCTTGCAAATCCATAACTGCCGGGTGCTCAGGGCGAGAGGCTGCTCTGAGGGGATAGGTGGAACAAAAGTCTCTTGGAACTCCAACCATAGGTGTTGTCACAGGCGTCTGCAGCTATCACCTGAAGCAGAAGCAGCAGAGCAGAACTAATCAGAGGTTTGGAATTGGAGCCTGGTCACAGTATAGAGACAAAAAGTTTCACTTAGAGGAGTGGTGATGGCTCACATCTAGTCTTCCTGCAGAGTAGATGGGAGATTAATTAACCTGGTGGTATCATTATCATTTACAGGAAAAAAATAATTTCTGAGACTGCACCTAAGCCTTGAACAAAGCTCACCAGCGCAGTTTCCTGTCAAATGCTCTTTCTTCATATGCACAAAAAAAAGACTAAACAATGTACTATATTTTGTAAAGTACAGTATGTGTATATAGATGTGTGTGTGTGTAAATATTTATACATATATGAAAAACCTGTATCACACACTATATCAGTAGGATTCACATTATTAAGATACAAACTAAAGCCACAAAATTGACTTTCAAGTATTCTTCACAACAGGAACATTCAAGTAATGAGTATGTATAATACTTACAACTGAATCATCTAAAGCAATATATTCTTGTAAAGGTGTGTGCATAAAGCATAGCACTCCGATTTGTAAAGTCTGCTTAATGAGTTTCACCACTCTAAACAGGAATTCCACACAGAAAAGCTAGCATGAATAGAAAGCAGATGGAAACCAAAGCACAAACTCACATAAATAAATGATGGATAATAATTTGCCAGTCTCATACAAAGCTTACATGTTTTCAGCATGACTGTACGGTCTGATAGAAGCTGCTCTGATGACACACAGAGCTGTGTCAGTGTGCCAGCTCAGCCTCAGGTAGTCTCAAGTGGGACAGATGTAAGTCATTGCCATTGGAGGGTCACTTTGTCTCAGGCTTCCTTTCAGATGCACTCTGCTAGTGTTGGTTTAGTCACCAGGCTGAGCATAGGGATTCCTTTCTCTTGGCAGCCCATGACAGACTCTTTGTCTTCTCCACCCTGGGCTAGCCATGACCTTTTGCACAAATCCATCTCCTCTTTCCATTCCCAAATCTCCCTTCTTAGATTTTGGATGCATTTTGGGTTCAAGCCAGCTGATCATGGGGCTGGGGGCACATGGACATTCAGCTCATGGCTGGTCAGAGAGAGGGCTTGTATTGGTGACACTGTGAAGTCCCCCTCCCTGGACTAACTGATGTAAAGTCATGTCCAGACTCAGAAGTCCCCTTCTCCCTGTTCCCACCTGCCAGGATGCAGGAAGTGGGGAACAAGGCCTGCCTCCCCAAGGGCATTTCCCAGGGGATCCCCCCAGGAAGGGGCTGACCTGGCTGGCTCAGGGTGACTCAGCCTCATTGCTCCTGCAAGTCAGGCTCTGTCAGGGAGAGAACAAATTCCAGTGATCCACAACAGGCCTGTGCATGGAGCTTAGTAGCAGTATGGGGAGCCAGCCACCCTGTTCCAGTCCTCTCCCAGGTCTTGTAATTTAATTGCATTAATTAATTAATTGTATGAATTGTGGACATACCTGCTGCATCTCGTGGTCTCTGAGAAACATAAAATATTGCTGAGTGCTGAGACTTAGCCTGACGACCAGCCCACACAGAAGTGGCCACAGTTTGTCCACCAGATTCCCCTTCTGTTTTAGAGTACCTGGAAATCAGTGAGGAAACTCCTGTCAAATGGCACAGGTTTTGTAACCACCTTGTTGTGCATCTCTGCAAGTCTTGCTTGTTGTGATATTTCTGTTTGTCTCAAAAGTTATTTCTCTTTGCAGTGTGATGTCTTGGATCAGAATTTGTTAAACTTCCTCCCAGAACAAGAACACTCAGAAATTTATAAGATGTTATCTTCTTGTATGCTTATGACAGATTCTGCCTCATCGGATTACCTAAAAAGTAGGTTTCATTTTATCTTCTCTAGTAAATGAAAAAGCATGGGCAGGATAAAAAATTTTCTCCCAGAAAGATTTTTTTATGTGATGTGCAAAAAAAAAAAATTAGGTTCATAGCCTTTCAAAAAGATCTTGCCACCTGGAATGACCGTTTGGTTCTATTTTTAAATGAAACTCTCTGCCTTTATTTTACTAGGCTAAGACTACTTGCAGTTATGTTAATTATTAAATATCATATCATTTGAGACAGCTAAGGAAAATAGGTTAGCCGATGGAAATTGAAAGTTCGCCTGAGACAAATCACATCTTAATTGATATTTCAGCCTGTTCAAGTAAGATGTTGTTCCGAGATAAGCTAACATGGCATACCTTTGGTTTGCTTTACAGTTGGAAAATACCTCTAAAACCATTGTAATTCTTTTTCCAATTGAATTTTGTTTTTCTTAGAAATGCATTTACTTCCTCAGCCTTACTCAGTCTAGGAGGTGAGATGTAGAAAACCAGAAAACACATGATAATGTAAGATGTACAGCTGCTCAATCTACTGTATCATACAAAACCTGCAGCTGGTAGCTAATACACCAGAGTTAATTTGATAGATACTATGAGGTAATTAAGCATAGTTTTCCAACACAAGATGTAGAAAAGCTGTGAGTTGTGAGGAGCCTAAATAGAAAAAAGCAGTAAGTGAAGGACCCAGTTCTCTCTGTTGCTGCACTGAGGCTATGGCTGTGTAACTCCTGTGATGAGGTGGTGTCAGAGAAGGGCGAGTTAATGTCCAAGGCTGTCCCTGAGCTGCAGGCACGCCTGTGCACAGCACTGAGCAACCTGCACCCCTGCAAGGCACTTTCTTGCAGAGGCTCTGGTCCTGCAATGTATAGCACATTGGTGTTCAGGGCTCCTCCTGAGTGGTAACAAGCAGCTCTTGTGCCGCCAGTTGCAAGATTGGGGTTGGAAGACACCATTGGTTGTGTTTAGCTTAAATAGTATATTTATTTCTTCTTCTTCTTCTTTTAACAATCCAGCTGACAATGAACTAGAGTTTTATTGTCATCTTCTGAGAGGAAGTTTGAACCCAAAGGAATTTCCAACATATGAATACATAAAATTTGTAGGAAATTTTCGGTCTTACAGCAATGGTAAGCTTTAATTGTTGTATAAATATTACTTTAGCTGTGTAAAATAAAAGTATTGCTCCATTAAACAAGACAGGCTTTTAACTGACAGAACTATTTTTAACATTACGGGATAAATTTTGCTTCACATGGATCTCATGGCTGAGTTGCAATAGCTGGGTGAACACATGTAATGAGTGAAATTGTGTTAGTTGCTTTTGTTACTGCCCTTCACTTGCAGTGATCCTGGACTCTGGGTAAGTTTGCAAATAATGACAGGTTTAGAGGAGGGTTTATTTGTGCTCACTAATACTGTGTGCTAAGACCCCATCTATTAGCAAAATGATAATCTTGCTACCTTATCTGCTGGTTTACATTAAACACAAATTCCATGCCAGAACTGATAACCTGCCAAATCTGTCTTCTCACCCTTCTCTGCAAAATCTTGGGGAAAGGCAGCAGTGCCACGTGGCATCAGAATGGCTGAGGACACTGCCACCCACCTCCCTCTCCAGCTGCCTTTTTGCATTCCTCTCCAACACTGCAGAACCCAATACTCCCCCCAAAAAAAGAGAAGAAATGCAGTCAGCATAGTCACCAATGCACCACAGTCAGTCCAGGGAAACCATCTTTCAAGAGATGAAGAGCAGATTTCCACCTCACCCCTTCTCTAACAAACAGATTGCTGCACGGCCATTAGTGTCAGAAATGAAATAGTCTTTTATTACTTTCTTTCTCCTGCTTGCCCAAGTTTGCTTTAGTTACTTGCCTGACTGAACTCCAGAGTGGCATTTCCAAAGTTGCTGGTATTGTTCCAAATAGGTCATCCTCTGCAAAAAAATTCCCCACTGTGCTTTCCAAAAACTGCATGCCACGCTGTGAAAAAAAATGTCCCTGTCCCCATTTAACTTTCTGCTTTTGCTCCACATGACTAGAATAGAAACCTTCGTGCAGGATGGAGATATGTATTTCTTGTTTGGTGCCATCTGATTTGAGGCTCTATTTGTATAAAAAAATGTAGCTGCCTGTATGCTTTCTAGTTTGAATGAAGTGAAATGCGCCTGCCTGACAGACGCACACACCAAGCTGTTCTGTTTTCTAGAGCAGAAACCGGATTTCAGGTGCTGACTCATAAGGATACATTTCTACCAGGGGAATTTCTGATCCATTTTCTTCAAGGATTTTCAGCCCTTTATTTTGGTGTGACATTAATATTGCCCCCTTACCCATTAGGATTTCACATCCCAGCAATTTCATCAGTGGCTATTTCTCAGAAGAATGATAAGACATTACCGATATCTTCCCTAGCTTAATGCATAGAAACTAAATGGGAGCATATTGATTTCAGAAGACACCAAATCATTTTCCAAAGACCCCATCTTAATAGCTTTCAAACAAGTCATGTGCTTTCTTCTTCACATTTTTTTTCCCTTTGTGCTACTTTTTTCTAAATCTTCCCCTTAATATTGTCTCTTACTTTCTTCCCATCTCTGCTGCAGTCTGACCCTTAAGTTGACAGGGAGGGGCAGCCTTAGCCTGGCTGTGTGGGATGGTGCTTCCTGGTCCCCTTGCCACCTGACTTCAGTTTCTCCAATTCAGTGCAGAGCCTGATGGAAATGCCTCACCAGTGCATGTCCAGCACTGCTCCCTTTGGCAGGGAGTCACCCCCATGGCTGCCTCCCAGCAAAGGTGGAAGCAAGTGCACTGGACTCACATGCAGTAGCAGCAAAGTGTTTGCTTGGGACCTGATACCCTTGGCTCACAGACTGAGCAGCTGGAGGAGGTTGCAGACCTCCAAAGAGTCTGTCCTTGGATTCACTGGGCTCCCTGCACCAGCCAGCTGCACCTGAGCAAGACACAGGAGAATCAGCTCAAGTGAGCACCATGTGAATGCTCCACCCTGTGGGGAAGGCACCCAAGGGCTGGGGGCTAGCACCTGTACTTCGGCATAGGGACTTGAGGCACAAACAGCTTTGGGCATCTAGTGGGTGCAGTGTTGAGCTGGGTTCCTGCCTGTGCTTGGCCCACAGTTATCAGGCACCCAGCCCATGCTCCACAGGGCTGTCACCTGAGTAATTGCCCTCTTTTCCTCCTTTTAAGTAAATGCCTATTCTCCAGTCATCCGTCCTCCAGGTGTGAGGCCAAGTGGGCAAGAAAGAAGGCAGTGGGAAGGGTGGTGGGAGAGACACATGTCACTCAGTGCAGCATTTGTCCTATATGCATAGGATCAGCTGGCCCCAAAGCCTGCTTTTTGGAGGTGTTTGTGAAGGAAGGATTCTAAGCTAAAGATAAGCAAAGAGTTAGCTGGGGGAGAAAGACAGAAATTGCAAATTAGGCTTAATTAGCAGGAGACATTCCTTATGAATGTATTGAAGAATGTTTTTTCCCTGTAGCTTTTCACAGCAGTGGAAGTGAGAGCATGTTTTTACACATGGGAGACTGATACAGGATGTTCTTTAAGTATAAATCCTGCCGTTCCTTTTTAGCCACCCAATGTCAACTCCTACCTTTGTTTCCAATGGTTTGCTGAGCATACTCTGAGCCCACTCTGCCTGCGTGTTCCTGCCACAGGGATGCCAGAGCCTCTATGGTCAGGGAAGTTCTTTTATCCCTGGACAGGTTATATCCTATCAGGATACTTAGCTGTTCTGTTGTCATTAATGTAGAGTCATAGCAGCAACAGCCTGAGTGAATCTGTCTCCATTCCTTCTCATTTAACCTTTGCTGATGTTTTTAAGAACTTCTTCACCCTCTTTTAACAGAAATGTCACTATTCTACTTCCACATAACTTTTTATGTAACCTCCTTTGAATTATCATCTCCTTAGGCTTATTTTATTGTTGTTCATTGCTCATACAGTGTTGGTGCTTGGGGCAAGGAGGTCATGCGTGTGAGTTCCCAGTCACCTCCCTCCTCCTTCCTACCTTCTCTGTTAATCGCATTGTGACTTATGGCTGAGAACATCATATAGGGGTGGGTTTGAATGGATTAATTTGAAGGATTGCGGCTTAGAAAGCCAGTTAGGGGCTTAGCTGCTCTCCCTAACTTTAAATGGGAGCTCTGGGGCTTTAAAGGCCTTTGTACTGATATGCCAAAGATAATTTTTTTCATGCTGCAGTAGAACAAATACCTGATATCTGCCAAGGTGACTTGTCACCAGAATTGCTGTCAGGGAGCCAGGTCATACACAATCTACATTGAACCTGTGCCACTCCCACAGAGGAGCAGTCATAGGCATCTTCACTGATCCCAGAAGAGGCAGGGACATGCATGCACAGGACCCAAAAATTGCCCAGGAAAGCTCTCACTGTTCATAGCAGGGATTCAGTTTTTAGGAGATCACTGTCCCTGGAGCTTCTGAGGTTAGCTATAGCTGCGGGCTAGAGGAGTTGCCCAGCCCAGTGCCAGGGTTAGCAAGAGCCTGCACACTTGGACTGCTCCTGAGGAATCTGTGCTCTGCAAGCCGTACTGCATAACATTTCTTCAGCTGTGTCTGCACCAGGGATGTGACATGAGCTGCCTGCACACGAGTGAATCCCTGTTGCATTGGCCATGCCCAAGCGAGAGCAGCCGACCAGCGAAACAGCAGTGCAAGCTGTGCAGAGCGCCTGCATGAGTCACTGGCTGTGCTAAATCAAATACAAGAGATTTGATTTTCCATTTGGGAGGATTATATAATCATCATTAATTAAGCTTCAATGAGAAAAGCGGGACTGTAACCTGATGTGAAGATTCAGTAGTCCCGTGAGAGGCAAGGAGGTGGCCCATGGGCCACTCAGACAGGGAAGCTCCTTTTCACTTCTGTGAGAAATGCCTACTTACTGTCAGATCATCAGGGTTGTTTTTGTTTTATTTGCAAACAGGAACTCTGTCCAATATTTTTATATATTTCAGGTTCTGGGTTTGTAGCCCAGATCTTAAAAAGAGACATGAATGTCTGCAAACATTCTGGGAGACAAGTGCATTGCTGTACTTATTGACCAGTAGTACCTGGTAAGAGAGAGAGTCATATCAGCATCACCAATGAATAATACAGTGGCTCACATCCAGTCTTGCCTGAGGGCTGACGGGGAAGGCAAGTAATAAAGGTAACCCTCCCCAAAAGTCCAAGGAAGTGCTCAGCTCCCAGTATAAAAAGTCAAATCGAGTGAGAATAAATTATTTTACAAAGCTGCTTAATAGATCACTCTGATAAGAGATTATAAGATGGGCTGGATTCATCCCTCCTGTGAAAATTGTTTGTATGTTTGTAAACTGACAAAGATCTCTCATAATTATATATCCAAATACTGGCTCTGGTATCCTCTTTCTAAAGTGACACACTTGCTTAAAAACTCATGAAAGGGACAAAACCAGAGTCCTCCTTTTCAAAGAGTTAAACAATATTAAAAAGGACCACCAGCATCTTTTAAGTAATAGATCTGTCCTTTCATCCAAAATGCCTGAAGCTTTTCTCTTGAAGAAAAAGATAAGCATTATGTGAAAAGAGTTCCTAATCAAGTAATATAATATTATAGTGGAATTTAAAACTGTGTGTTTTGTTCCCAATTACATGGCAACTCGGGAAGTATCTGGTTACTGAATGCTAATAATAGCAGATACTCTACTGTTAGCTGATACAGCTCTCAGATATAATAATAAACATCAAGAAAACTACTATGTTGAGGAGAAAAAAATTGTAACTTTCAGATAAATTAAGTGCATTTGAATTAATTTTTAAAAGAAAAACAGTTGATACAGAAGATACATTGATCTTGAGCCTCCATAAGAATATGCTCAAACATCTGAAACAAGAATAACTCAGTCAAAATGAATGTTTTGATCAGAACCAACAGCTGCGTATTATTATTTGCTATTAACAATATCATAGAAGCTGCAGCTGACAATATGCAGCACTCAGCTAGTCTCACTATGCAAAGAGAAGACACCATTCCTGTCCTAAAGAATCTGTGTGGGATCCATATCAGCATAGGATGGCCAGGGAAGAAACAGGAGGAGCAAAGAGGAGAGAGTAGATCAAAGTGGACAGGTGATGTATGGACACTGTCACTGTTACTCATCTACATAGCTACTGAGAGCAGTCTGGCTTACCATCATCACTTTAGATTTCTTCATTATATCTGTTAATTGCCAAATATTCTGTTTATCTGAGGCCTGAATTAATTTATATTAAATTATTTTATTCTGGTCTGTTTGGCTCGTATTTTTTGAAATCTCTATTCAGTTTGTTTGACAATCACAAAGACTGGTTCATTAAACATTAACATCTCCTGACAAAGTAGGAAGGAGGGATTTCTTCTTTCAAATGGCATAAGCAGGAGGTTTGCTGTCTTAGGAAGATTATGTTTTACACATTCCAAACTGAAGTAAGAGGACCAAGCAACTAACTCCTGTACTATTATTAACTGAATAAAGTGGCATCTGTTTCTTTAAGCATGTTTTCATTCATTTCATGTGGCATAATTTCTCACCCTAAGGGTAAAAATTCTTTTGTCTGTGATAGTGAAGGGCTTGGTTCCTTGCATATATTATTTATTGAAACATTCTGTCCCTAGTCCTGGTCTTTAAAAAAAAAAGAAAAGAAAAAAAAAGAAACAAAAGAAAAATCAAAGATAGGTAAATCAGTTTCTTTGTATCTTATGAGATATTTGCAGGTATTTAATAGTTTTACAAAATAGTTTTGTGGTACCCTAGGAGCAGCAAGTGTGACAGGTAACCACAAAAAGCACTAAAATTCACACCAAGGAGCATCAGCTAGCTGATACATATGAGACAACTGTTTCACCTTTCTGATTATGTATTTAGCTTTGTCACATGACCTTCTGATTCTTTACTCAAGATATTTTGTCTCAATCATTTAATTGTGAAACACACAGGCCTTCATTTACTTTCATTTACCTGTTTATGGCCAGCCTAACATTTTCATTAGGCATCTTTTGACAAAAGCGCTCCAAGCCCTATATTTGAAAACAAATGTTATTATCACCATTGCCTCAGGATTGATCCTATATTTTCTGTTCCACTTTTTTCCTGTGGCACTCTCAGAATGTTTGCTACTGAATTTTGCTACCTCAAGATACTGTGTTTCTTTTAAAGAGACTTGGAGAGTCGTAAAGTATGATTTTTCAGAAGGCTTTTTTAAAAGGTTACACCAGGATTGTATTTTTTTTTTAATTCATCTAGTGGTCTCTTTTTTTAACTACACTTCAAAATTCATCAATCAAGAAAGGTTGAAATTCACTGACGAGCTGCAAAAGATAGAGCTGTGCAGATAGAACTGTGGAAAAAAAAGATACCAACAACCTAAGTCAGGCAGCAAAATAATTCAGAAGCAAATGTGAGTGGGTTTTGGTTTTTTTTCAGTTATTTTAGTTGTCATTTTCAGATGGAGATGTACTTGACAATGTAGTGGCTACCTGCCTGCATCATTGAGGCTTTTAATGCTCTGGACTTTGTCAAAGGCAGCCGAGTATGAGACGGCACAGTAGCTGTTCAAAGACAGGATAGCATCCAGCCAGGCCAGCTCTGTGTCATCTCTTTGGGCTTATTCATTCTCTGCTGCTTAAGTTCATCATTTCCAAATGTTGTGAGGAAATACCAAATTACTGCCTAGCTGTCCTACACAATAATTATTACCCTCTTAATACTGCATTTACCTGTTGGAAATATAATCCTATTTTGTAAATGCCACATTCAGGGAAGTATTCTGCTCTTGTCTAAGTAAATGCCACATTCAGGGATCCATTCTGCTGTCTTCTGGGAATATGTCTCGGGCTCGTGGCTGTTTACAGCTAACAACTGATACAAAAAAGCCATCTGCTCTTTTTGGTGTGACTCAGTCTCCACTTCCTTCTACAACTGGTGTCATTTGCAAGCCCATGGTTCACTAACTAGGTTAACTTATCATACCTGTGTTTCGGAGGCTAAATGCACTTATTTTCATATCTTAGAGCCCAGACTGCAAGAATTTGATACTGAACTTGTCTATTACAGAGAGAAACAGCCCCACTGACTTCAAATGTCACAACATAGCAAGCTTGGAAGCAACTTCACAATGCTTGTAATGCAGGCTTATAGCATTCTCATTAATTTTTAAACAGGACTAACACAGAAATCAACAGCCTTGCACTAAATAATAATATCAGAGACAGACCAGTAACTCTTTACTTAGGTTACTCGTGTGTCCTGTAGAACTTCACTCTTCTTTTTTTCAATTTTTTGTGTTAATAATCACATAGAAGCCCACATATATATACACATAACCCCAGGATCAGAATGGGAACACATATTCCTAGGGAGTCCCGAGAGCTTGTGTGCTCTGCTGGTGAAAGGACAAGAATTTTGCCCATATTTTTTCTGTATATCCAGTCAGCCATGCCCTCCAGTCTCAACTATGAGAGAGGACTTGACCTCTGTTCACGTCTGTGCTGTCTTCTCAGATAAGCAACCTTGCTTTTCCTTCTTGGTGCAATACATATTGTACATGCAGTGGCCTAAACCAGTTAATCACAGGTGTGAATTCCACTCAGCATACTTTCTTTAATGTCTCATACCCTGTTATCCTTGTTACCAGTAATGCATCAATATTCTAAGGCTTTTAATAGGTTGAATCAGGTTCCAAAACATGTTCCAAACATGTGATCACTTGAGACTCCTTCCATCTCTGCAATTTGTGGTAGTGAATGAAATCCCAGTGAGAAGCACCCCAGGATAAAAATAGGTAGTTATCTTCTCCCCAGATACAAAACTCTTCAGTTTCACAGTAATGCTTTGCCCTGTGCAAAGAGCCAAACTGTCAGAAACTTCATGGTGGATATAGAGGCCTAATAGTAAGGAGTTTCATATTAGTATTAATCCCTATTAGCATTAAATCAGCTCATATTGGTGAACTCTGGTTATTATATAGGACCTTCTCTGCCCCTATGGGAGAAAGTTGTCTAGGCAGGGCAAGAATCCAGCCCAGTTCCTACTGCAGCCTGGCACACCGTTTTCTTTCATAGCTGTGGGAGTGGGATTACCATCTCTAAACAGCTTGAACTTGGGGGAATAGTTTGTATTATGTCATTCTAACACTGGACTGTGGGCTAGTTCACAGCAGCATGTCCTTTTGGCAATGCATCTCCGTGGCAGGAGGTGTTAATGGGCTCTCAAAGCAGCTGGAGCCATGCAATTATGAAATACACAGGTAAAAAACATATGCAAAATGTGTAGCCATATCACATCCAGTTTTTCCCTCTGCCCAGCTGGAGGAGACAACAGGCCATCTGCAGACTTGCCAGATGTGCCCATCTCTGGAAGTCAGTGCTATTCATGGGGTCCCTTTTCCTCTTCTTTAAAACAAAGATGACTTGAGCATACTGGGGACAGTTCTTTCTGTGCAGAAGGGGAAGGCATTCTTCAGCAGCCAAGAATCACAAGCATCCTCTTGCTAGTTTGATGAAGCCTCGTTGGCTGTGGGCCCCGGTGTTTTGCCACTGATGACTTGACGAACTCTCTTCAGCTGCCTTCTTTGCCAACACTTTTTTTCACTGGATCATGGAAGTTACAGTGCTAGGCATGCTGCAGCTTTTTTCTTTTTTTTTTCCCTTGTGAGTGGTGAAAAAGAGCAATTGGATGTGTGGGGTTTCTTTCCAGAAAACTGGTTTATTCTCTGTAATAAGGTTTGGCCTTATTTTTATCAGGATTAACCTGTAAAATTCATACTTGAAGTTAAGCTCTGATGCCTTTCTGCCTAACATGACTGACTTGGATTTAAATATATGCATATCAGCTTTGAAAGCTTTTAGAGCACTTCTCTGAATAAAAATAGTATTATTAGTACACTTGGCGTGTGCAAAATATTCAGGGAGAGCAAATCTTATGAGGCATGACTCCAGGTCCCATTTTTTTCCCTAACTAGTGCCTAACTCCACTTGCAATGGCTTTGATGAGGCTGTACCAAGGGCTTACAGAACATCCCCAGGAAAGCAAATCTGCTTTGTTGCGACTGTTCGTTTGGCAACGCCTCAGTTTTTAAAGGTAAGTGCTCACCCTGGGTCCCATGCATTTCAGAACTTCACAAAACACTTTCAGATGGGGTGACACAGAAGGTTCTTAGTTTTGCTAATTGAATGGATTACAGATATCACATTTCATGCATAAAAATCCAGTGAAGGGGATTATCAGTGCAAGCCAGGATCTGTGAAGCAGTGTCACTTCTGCCCCTATTGCAGAGGATACAGAAACCCTCTTTGAAATAGGAATTGCAAAGTCGCTTTGAAATTTGGTTCCTCATTGCTGCTTTCTGTTCCTACAATGGGCAATGTACAAAGGTCTCAAGGGTCTTTGTTTCAAGCCTAGTTAATTCTGTGATTTTGTGATACAGATGACCACCAACACTTCCATTTGTGCTCCTCGGCATCTTTGGTGGACTACTGCTTGTTTCCCTTCTCACAAATCCTGGAAGTAAGATAGCTGCTTATGGTTATAAGAATAGACAAACCAAGTTTGTGCCTAACACTGCTGTTCCCTAATTAATAAATGTGAACTACTGCACCAGGTGTCCTGTGCCCAGAGTTTTTATGTAATTGAGGTGTGACCAGTATGAAATCACTGTTCCCTTGGCCTGGTTCCATTACTGCTCTGGAACTTGCAAGGTATTCTAGACTGATTCCTGACCCTGCAGGCAAGTAGAGTCCCTTCTGGGTAAGTGAGGACACTTCTCATGAATCTTAACCACAATAATCATATTAGCAGAAGGGTTGGAGTTAGAGGTTCTCTGAGAACCCTAAAAGCAAATTCCCTTGTCTTTGGGTAGCTAGCATCTCAAAATAAGCAGGGAAACAAAATGGGCTACTCATGGCAATGAGCTACCCAATGCTAGGGAGGAAGCAGCTGCTGAACAGTCCAGAGAAGGTTTTAACTGCCACAAAGTCCTGAACACACATCTCTTTGGTTCACCTGGGTGACTCACCTAAATCCCACTCTTGACTTCCTACTGTAAAATGAGTTTAAAATGTTCATCTGACCAGCTAAGGAAGACAAAATCAGCAGTTTGGTTGCACACAGCAGTGTTTGCACCTTGAATTTTAGTGTATGTTCTTGGCATCAGCATGGATTTTGGCCTAAACTGGAGAGGGGGAAAGAAGAATTTAAGGTATTTATGAAGCCCTTTGCCTCTATGTAGCTAGAGACTTCAAACAACAGCATTGTCAGCATTGATATGTATCAAAGAATTGCTTTATGGGGGCACACCTCAGCTTGTTCTCTGGTCTCAACAGAGTTTAAAACATCAGTGCTCTCCTCTGCCTGAGGGACAGCAGAGAGAAGCAGTAATGGAAATGATGGGAAGGTATCACTGAGCCCACAGCATGGGGGGATGTGACATCAGGGAGCAGGGGAGTAGCAGCATTGGAGGCCAGTGGACAGACTGTCCTTACCAGTGAGGATGGAGACCCTCCTGCAGGAGAGATGTGACGGACACAGGAACCCTGGATGCCACAAATTCAGAATGCTGCTGCTGGGAAGTCCCAGGCCAGGAGCCTCCAGGCTGACTTCAGGCAGCTCGTGGAGCTGCAGTTGCCCCTGCAAAGCACCCAGTGGGAGAGGAGAGTTTGGCAGAGGAGAGCTTGGAGTGGACAGTGAGATGGCCATGAGGCATGCAGACAGCACAGATGTGTGCTGTGCTGCCATCCTTCCCTCTACTTCCTATCTCCACCCAGCAAGTGACCACCACTGACTGCCTCCTGATCCTCATCTCCCTGCTCCTGCCTCGCAGACAGCCCTGTGCCCTGCCTTCCATAACTCACTAATTATCGTGCTCGTGAGCACTCAGGGCTGCTCTGAACCTTAAGGGCCAGCTTGTTCGCTGTGGCAGTGAGGTGCAAAGCAACACTGACCCTTTTTACCCACTGGACAGGTCCCATGCAGGCTGGCTGCATAAAAAGCCATCTTCTCCTCTGCAGCTATTGAGGGAGAAGAAGTGTCCCCCTTTCTCAGCTTGGAGGGCAGACATCCAAAAGGACCAAGGCTGGTGGGTATCTTTAGTAACACAGAGGGAGTGAAGCAAGATGTGGCAAGCCCTGGTGGGATCAGGCACAGGCTGGATGCTGAGAAAGCCCACGGCCATCACACCCCAGGCATTGCTTCAAAGCCAAAGAAGTTTTGGCACCCTGAGGCACAGTCTCAGCTCTTAAGTACGCGTGCATTACAAGTTCTATTCCCTACCTCCTATAAAAAACTTTGGCATTGATAAATACAATAGTTTGCTCTCTGGAATGGCCAGAAAATGGGTGAATCCTCTGCTTTCTATCTTATGCACCATGTATTTTTAGCTAACAAAAGCTAAATGAAGCAGAGGGGTGAAGCTCCAACTCTCAATAAGTCAGTTTTCTCCATTGGACAGGAGATGTGCATCGTAGAAGAACCTCTAGAGGAGTTCACATCAAGACACAGTCTGGAGTGGAAATTTTTATTCCTGGATCACAGGTTGGTGACAAGAAAAGCCCTGCTGCTTTTCTACTACTATTTCACAAGTACAGTTTTCTCAAGTAGTGTTCCATTTCACATCTAAATCTCATGAAAAGGAGGGCTGCCACCGAAATTCCTACAAAAGCTGATGTTTACTATTTTACATTTACTTTTGCTTTTATTTTAATGGGCTTTTAAAACAAAAGGACTCTGTTTCTTCAGCTGAATTTGTGATTAGCTTGTTCTTCCTTCCTTTAAAATTATCAACAGACCAAAGTCTGTCACATGGCAAAATGATCTAATTATTATACAGCTGCAGAAATCCTTTCCAAATCCAGTCACTGATTGCATGTGTGCAATTCCCACTGAGTTATGGAGGGAAAGTCTTTGCTGGCCTGAGGCATCTGTTCTGGCAAAGGTACAAAGCAAGTGCCTCAGCATGCCACAGATGAGCTCTCCAGGCATCCAGAGGAAAGCAGCACAGATTATTTCCTCTCTTATCCCCCCAGTACCACCAGATGATGGCTTTCAAACACCTCCCCACGCATTCTCCCCTGTGTAAGGGCTGCAGGAGCCATTGCAGAGCCCCTGACCAAACAGCAGCCAGGGAACGGCTCCCTCATAGCAGTTTCCTGTGTAAAGGTCCCTGAGAAGCTGGACTACTTTCCATAATCATAATTTCCCTGAAGAAGGAGTGTTGTCATAGTCTTGTCCTGCTGGGATGGTGCCTGCTGGTATTGCTGTGCCCAGCTGGGTATCCCAGGCTCAAGGTGGGGGAAAGCCAGGATCCAGCCCTCTGAGGTGAACAACTATATACTGATGAGTGAAAGTAGATCTGGGATCTTTGCCTTCTGCATCAACATGCAGAGCTGCTTGTTCTGTGTTTTATGGACTCACATTGTGCCCAACCGCAGAGCACCGCCAATTATCGGATACTTGCCTTTTGAAGTGCTGGGTACTTCTGGCTACGACTATTACCACATAGATGACCTAGAGCTGCTAGCAAGGTGCCACGAACACTGTAAGTATCACATGGCCCAGGTTCCTGGGAGGTCACTGGGACACCTCTTTTCAGTGTTGTTTGGAAGGGGAGGTTTGACTCTTGACTCAGCCTGTGCATCTTAGCAGAGCTGTGGCAGACTGCGGGCACTGCAGCTGGTTGGAATCTGGGACAGACCAAACTCTGAAATATATGATTTTACCTTCTGTGTCCCCAAAAGTAGTCAGTGAGACTCACTGAATGGATAAATTATGCCAGATTTGACCCCTGTTCTATTAATAAAGAATATGAAGAAATAGTTCAAGCAATTCTTGTGGATTATCTCCCATGTTGCTCACTGTGTTTCCAGTGTTGCTCACGGTGTATTTGGGATTAGCTGTGATTATTTAAATAGGTCTATTAGGATTTAATTGAAAAACTCTTTCACTAAGCAAAGAAAATAAGGCAATGCTTTTCAAATATTTGCTTACAAAACTGGCTATAGTATCTCAGCTTACCACCTCTGCCTGTCTTGAAAGTATCATGTCAACATTATTTTTTATATGTTGACACTGAAATATAGGAAGGCTAAATATGTGGATGTTTGGAAACCCCTTGAAATCACTAGAAGGGAAAAGCAGAGATAATTTGGTTGGTGAATCTTCAAAATCTTCAGTACACCCTGGTTTACTGTAGTTTGAATTTTTGTCAGTCTGGGAATTTTCTTTGAAATTATTTTTGTCTTTGCACAGTCTATCTCCTATGATAACCTCATACTAAATACATCTATCTGCCCACAATACTCATCTTTGCAAACATTTTTATCCTGTACTTTTCTACTCTAGAATTTATGATCACTCTTAGAAAATAATCCCAGGTGTTTAATTAAGCAGTATGTGATCAGCACATAAAGCAGGGCAAGATCTATGTTTAAATTGTAGCGGACATTACTTCATTAGTGTCCAAACTTAAGGTTAATTGTACCGTGTTGGAATGTACTACCCAAAGTGTCAGAGGAAGATACCTACTAATCATGATTTTTTGTTCTGTCAGAAGGCTGAGAGGAGCACTTACTCAAAATTGGTGTTTATACTCCTGTCTACCTATGACAGATATTTTTGTCACTTTTTTTTTACTTTTCATGTCATTTTCATGTGGGAAATTGTGCTACAAGCTGTGTGTATTTTCTGCTGTCAGTGATGCAGTTCGGCAAGGGGAAGTCATGCTGCTATCGGTTTCTGACCAAAGGACAGCAGTGGATCTGGCTCCAGACCCATTACTACATCACCTACCACCAGTGGAACTCCAAGCCAGAGTTCATTGTGTGCACACACATGGTGGTAAGGTATGGAAAATCCCATCAACCAGCCGGGACATAAAGGGCAGTAAGAAAAGATCATCCTCCTATCTGTCAGCATTTTCTTTTAAAAATATAACATCATTTGTATAACAAAAATATTAAGCCTGAACTTTCTGAAGAAAATAGGGTCATTATAGCAAATTATCAGACCAGACCTTAGTTTATGTTAAGCTTAATTTTTTTTGTTGTTGTTTAGAGGCAGATGAACTATGGCACTTTTCCATTTTGTGCAAAAATAGAGAATAGACAGATCCCTTAAATATTCACTTCCTCTAATCCTTCCATTGTTTTTAAAGAGATGTGTAGAAGCTTTCCAGTGAAGTCATAAAGTGATTGTGGGATGTGAACCTGACCTTTTTATATAGCTCTTTAATATGCATCTCGACTTCAAGAAGATAGGAACAGAGAAAAACCTAAAAATTAAAACTCTCAAATGTTATTCAGTAGCATTTGACTTAAGTCACTTTTCAGCTGTCAGTTTAACCTCTAAAATGTACAGTAATTTGTTCCTCCACTCTCTTAAAGCACATTTTAAGAAATATAGTAATTCCATGTTGATATGTAGAATTATGTTTTCCATTCAGTTATGCAGATGTTCGGGTGGAGAGGAGACAAGAGATGGGCTTGGAAGAAGTGTCCTCAGAGGTTGTGTCCTCAGCACTAAAGGTATAATGAGAAAATCTTTTTTCATGAGTTTATGTAGTAATCACAACTTGTTCCTATATTAACATCACCAAAGACTCCAGCATTGTCTTGCTCCAGTGCTGGTGGATTCTCTCAGCTTCAGAACTCATTGTTCACTTGAGGAATTTTGACATAAATTAGGTGAGTTTATGAAAGGATAAACATGGAGATCAGTAACAGCCACAAATGAAATGGAACATGGGCAGGGGCAGTGTGAGATATCTCAACTTTTCCTTGGAAAGGTACTACATTTTAGGATTTATTTGGATGAGTTCTGGCAGTCAGCCCTCTTGGCTACATCTCATTTCCTCATCTTGAGAAAAGACTAGGCAAAGCTCATCTTCAGTGCATGGCCTAGTGTCTCACAGAGGTTGCAGTTGCTGTCACATCCAACTGAACACAAAAGAAAGATTCAGAAAAACATCTGAAGGCACAAAGTGACTATGGCAGTAGCTTGCTATTTATTTCTAACTCAGTGATAGTTGTTTGTAAAATGAATTAGTTTCGTGCTGTTTGGAAGGGGAGCTGATGCCTTTGTCCAGGCCTTCTGGTGGCCTACCTGAGATTAGTTCTGCTCAAGTCATTTCAGGTCTGCCAGAGAACTGGTGTGCAACCAATACTAAATTTAAAAATGCTTTACCTCTGACAGATGCAATAGCTGTTCTCCTTTTCTGTTTTGTTTTAGGACAGTGGCACCAGCTTGGATCCTGAACAGCACTTTAATGCACTTGATATTGGTGCCTCAATCCTCAGCGCTAGTCGGACACCCTCAGTATCATCCAGGAGCTCGCCAAAATCTTCCCACACACCCAAGTCAGACCCAGCATGTGAGTGGCATTCCTGAGTTATGGAATTATTTTTAATTTAGCTAAGTTAAAGAATGTGTACTTACATACCACAGCTGCTAATTAACAGTAAATTATGAGGTATTGATGATATGCACTGACAAAGAAGTGCAAAAACTGAAATGGTAATGTACAGGAGGGAAGGTTCTAGCACAACCACCTAAATACTGGAAGATGAGCAGTGGGATTAGATGTGAAATGTGCTGTTTCAATCTGTTGCAAAAATGAGGATTTTGTCTTCAGCTTTTAGGGCATCAGTGTGAGCAATATGAGACTTCTCAAGACTTACATGAGTAGTTAACAGCCTGTGGGTGACTCTCCTTCGGCCAAGATTTAGGATGCTCCAATGTTGACTTGGGTATACTGTTTCTGCTTCCCGGTCTGGAAGAAAAGCCAATAAGCTAACCTAAATTTACAGTTATTCGGCCCATATAAAGGGAATTCCAGCTGGTTTAGAACAGTTTGTGGGCCCTTTTATACTGCTTATTGGAGCATAGAATCATAATCTGTCTAATTTACTTTTATATCTGCCCAGACCCTCCTTATCAGTTTAATTTTACTGTCATTGAAGTCAATAAGAACATCCCTGACTCCCACCGGAATTTAGCCAGGCCATTACAATTTCTACCCAGGTCTTGTATTACCCACTTCAAACAGGGTTGATTTCCAGCATGTAAGATCTCACTGGTTCTTTTCTTGCAGCTACACCAACAAAGCTGATTACGGAGTCTAACACTCCCTTGCCAAGAACGCCGAGCACACAGCAGGATTTATCCGTGCATAGACTCAGCCAACCTACTGCTCTTCAGGTAACTTCACAAAGGAATCATGGAAATAGGCAGAGGGTGTAACAGCATGTGCCACATACGCACCTTAGCAATTAAAAACAACTTACACAGAAGCCATGGCATTAGAAGAAACCTAAAATATAAAGGAGCCAAACTTATCAATAAAGTTTTGGGTTGTTTTGTTTTTAACCTAGGTTTCTTTGCCTTCTCAGCTTCCATGTGAGCTTCTCCCACAGCAGTTGCTGCCTCAAGCAACTCTGCAAAATCAGCCTGCACCTCTGGCACAGGTTAGTTGGGGATTTGGAAGTGGAATAGGTCACTTGCTTATCTCCTGATATTTTCTCATTTTGGGGCCTTTAGGTTACCTCTCTAGTAACTAAAATCCCCAAATCCAAACTCTCAAACACTTAAAATATTGTGGAAAAGTAATCTGAATTGTACACTTGTATGTTTAAACATGTAACTGCATGCAGGTGTTCAGAAGCCCAGGTGCGTGTAGGTTCAGATGCGCACACATCTATTTTATGGGAGGACAAAAAACAGATGGAAAAAGACTTTACAATTTTGCTTTTACAGAACCAGGTCCCATGAAGATCAAATTCACAATGAGAATTAAAACCAAAAACAGAGACACCCAGTCATTCTAAAAACACCTGTTTGGCTGTGCTGATGCAGAGCTAACTAGCAGTAAAGGACATGCAAATTCTACAACACCCATTTTGTGAGTGTGCCAGTAATGGTGAGGATGCCACTGAAGACAAATTTCAAATTCTTCCAGTCTATTAACCCATATCTCAAAAGTGGGTGATGGCCCAAAAAGTCATCTCAGGGTTACATTTGCAGTGGATTTTGAAGAAGCAGATTTGAGTACCATGTTCCCAGCACACTGTTTTTCTCCTGTGGTCCTGCTGTGATGATACACCCCATCATCCTCTGATTTTAGGAATGACTGAGTATTGCTGGACCTAAGCTGCTTCTACCATTGATACTGTATACTCACTCACAAGATCCCAGAGTTTAATTCTGTAGTACATAAAACATATAGAGTCCTGAGGATCCTGGCTTTAAAATAACAAATTCTCATTTATCTTCCATGTTTAATATTCTTTTCATGACTCCATGTTAGCATGCAGTGAATAAATAGCATATCAATTATCTGCTCTGAGCATTCATTTTCTTTTACAGATACATCTCTCTGTTATTCATTAATGCATTTTCAAACATCAATTAGTTTATGTATGATAAGTCTCCGTGTGTTTTGTTTGACTTTTTTCTACTTCCCTTTCTTCTCCTTCAAAGCTCTTTGTGAAGAGAGGCTTTCCAGTTGTTTACCAAGAGCCCTGCTGCCTTGTCCCTTCCCAGTAAAAGGCTCTTACTGGCACATCAGCTCCAGTTTTTTTCTGACAAATTTGAGTGCTGTCCAGTGAATGGTTAAGCCTCTTTGGGCCACCTAAATCTTGGTGAAAGGAAGATGGCTGACTTGAGTCTGTCTACAGAGGCTGCCGTCTGGTAGCAGTCACAGCAGTGCTCCTGGCGAAACTCAAGATGAAGCTCAATGTGGAGCAGGGAAATAACACCAGGACATTGCAGTTCAGGCTGCTGATGTCCACACTCCACAGGAAAACTCCTGCAGAGAGTGCCAAATCTTCACACACTTGAGTGATTTTCATAAACTGTTATGAATATTATGATACTATGCTGTATCACACTTTAAAATCACACTTTAAAATAATTAACATGTCAGCCTACAGCAACATAATTAATTATTTAAAAGACAAAGATGTCTGCAGCACTAGGTGAGTGAGGGACAAAACCAGGTACATGTGCATCCCACCGGGAACACTTCCTTGGCTTCCTAGCTGACCATTTCCCAGCAGTTTAGTGGCAGAACACTAGCTTATTGCTTTTAAAAGTAGTGTGGCAGGTGCTCTGCTGCCAGCTCACAAGGAGGAGCTGCACAGGTTTCTCCCTGCTGCCTTTCTGCCACTTGTCCTTAGCTGAAGGTGACTGATGGTACGAGCTGGAAGGCCCTGGGTGTCCTTGTGGCTAACATTTGGCTACAGGGTGGCAGCTGCAGGGAAAACATTATAAGTGGCCACAACTGTGTTTGCAGCGAGCAGCGAGCTGCTGCCTCGGGCACCATCTGCTTGAACTTTGAGTAGTTTTATTTCCAGGAAAGGCTGTGATGGTTTTGTCTCCACTGAAATGGGATTTTAGCTTCTGCCTTGCTTGTGTGAATGAACAGACAGCACAGTGTCACCCTAGATGTCACCTGAATGTAAATTGTTTACTTTAAATCAAGTGCTCCCAATATTTGTTTGTTTGCCTTCCTCATTGTCATAAATTAACATCCCCTACAACACAGTGGATGTTAATGACTGAATAACAATTAACACTAATAATCTGTTTGGGATTGAGCAGGTGTTATTCAGATGACAGAAGAACAAGTTGTTCGGTGAGCTGCAAAACTAATGAAATCCAGTTTCCCAGGGCCTGTTCTTGCAGGGCTGGTGCATGGAGCCAGCCTTTCCCACAGGAGGAAGGGTTGAGTGGATCCTTCTCTCCTTTGCTCAGCTAAAGCTTTCATGAAGTTACAGCAATCTGGTATTTTTGACACTCTCACAACTCTGTTGAATGTCTCCAGCAAGAAACACGGCTCATCTCTTGGGCCAGAAGGATTGAAAGAAAGTTGAAAGGTAGGCAGAAAAGAAAGTTTTAAAGGAAACTGAGCTAAAAAAACAATAGGTTCTATTTTCTTTACCCGGCTGCCTGTTGTCATGACGCTTATAGGAACACAATGTCTTGAGACATCCATCTTTTTGTTGATCACATTTGAGATGAGGAACCATCCTGATAGACACAGAAGTTGCAGGGCCCCTCCCCTGGCTGCAGCCACCCAATTCCTAGAGAGAGGGAGACACCCTGGGATGCTGGGGTAGCACTCAGTGCAGAAAAACACTTCTCCTTGGGCATGGTCCAGCTAGTGTCTTTCAGATGCCCATGGTGGAAGAGAGGAACCACAGCATGGAAGTGCCCGTCCCTCTTCCTGGACTGTAGAGCCTCCCTGGACCGTCACCAGCACTAGTGCATTGAGCCCATCCCTACCAGAACATCTGCTGACATGATCCCAAATGCATCACTTTATTTTACTTTATTTTTTAAGAAACCAGATAAAGTTACTGCTGTGGGTTTTGCTTGTTTTGGGTTGTTTTTTTTTTCCTGCATTAACAAACCTTGATTAAACTAATGCAGCTATAGAGATCTCACAGGTTTAGTTTCCCATGCTTGACTGTATCTAGGAAGATGACACTTTTCTATGTATTACATGCAGTTTCCTAAGGATTTTCTGTATTTGAAAATACCTAAGTGAGATGAAGAGCAACTTCATCTGATGGTAATGGCAGAGTTAAAGTTGTGGGCAGTGTTTTCTGTGGAATGTTTTAAGTTCTTTAAATTTATTATACAATTAGAGATTTCTCCCTTAATTAGTAGAGCAGTTAATGATCTTGAGATAAATACTCTCTGGTGCAAGTCAATTGCTGATAGTGTCTCATTGTACAAAAACAATAGAAGCTCTGTAAGCACAGGGGTTATGGTTAGAGTTATCAACTATTTGGGGGTTAGAGTGGGAAAAGGAGAAAAGCAAGAGAAAGTTCCTTGTCTTCATCCATAACACCTTTCACTCCAGTATACCAGCTAATTGTTGGTGTTAAGTATATTAATACAAAAAGCATGTAAAAAAGAGAACAAAAAGACAACATAAGATGAATATGCTAAATATAAGAACCTGCACAAAAAAAATTAAGGAATAATATTTTAAAATCAACAGCAGTATATTCTTGTGTGCAACTTTACAAAGCAAATTCAAATTTAAAAGTAAGACCTAGAAATGAATTTTGTTTCTTTTTGAAGTATTAAGTGATTGTGAAATTACCTGGTTTAAAGTTCCTTACATTGATCCATTGAAGAAAATCAGGTTCCTTTCTCAAAGGATCTTCAAGGAATTTGCATGTTAATCAATAGTCTGCCATCACCAAGCTGGGTGGTTAAAATGAAGCTCTAAAAACAGCTAAAACTGTTTTTAATTCCTTTTCTAATAAGGATTCTTTTAAAAACTTAAAAGCCGTCCTCACTAAAAGAGTTCATATTGAGATAATTAGATTATGAGACTTGTCTTTTAAAAAGATCCTTCTGTACAGACCCAGGTTAAAGCAGGAATTAGCTGCATCTTGTTTATGATCTGTTGCTCATAGCATCATTCCACTCCTAAAATCAGGATACCTGGGACTCTTCAGAACCACATGGCTGGGGACAACAAGCAGCACTGGATTCTCCTTTGAGTCACTTGCTCTTATTCCTGAACATCTGAGGTCCCTGCTCAACCATTCCTCAGGTTAATTCTTTATACATGGATGAGAAAGAAAGAAAGAAAGAAAGAAAGAAAGAAAGAAGGAGACCCTGCTCTGTCTTCTCCTCTGTGACACCAATTCAAAGTAACACAAACGTCCCTTTGGGAGGTTTGACACCATCTTCCTTCTCTGGGAGAGGAGCAGGTTGCAGATGATGGCACTGCTGTTCGCAGGCACAAGCACCATGAGTCACAGGGCTCATGTCACCTCCTTGGGCAGACAGCACAAGCTGTGAGCGCTCACAGATGCCTCTGGCAGCAAAATGGGCTCTGAGGGCTTCTGTCACCAGCAACTGCAGGTGCCACCTTAGCAGCCCTCCTTGCCCCTAAGCAGGGTTGGCTGTGAGACTGACCTCCACCTGGCCACTATGCTGTGCAGTGACCTCCCAGGCTGTTGGGAAAGCCACCCTCCACCTGATAAATGGAATAAACCTTCTGAAGTTCTTGCTCTGTCTCTGCCAAAGGCCATTTACTTGGAGATGTCAGCTTTGCTACAGGGTACTTTCAAGTTACTTTCACATACTTAACTGGTTTAAGGTGAACTAGTTAGCTTATATAAATCTTTTCTGTCACATTTAGCTTTCTCTAAGTAGCCAGAAATTTCACCTAAGGAAGTGTACAGTACTGCTAACACCAGAGCACTCCTTAATTCCTGTCTTGTTTTCTTCTTCTTTCCTACTAAAAAGCCAGAAACAATGTAAGCCAGTTCACCAATGGAACAGGAAGGTTCCAGCAGCGAGCATCAGCTCACCCACTACCACAGAACCCCTGGAACAACTATAGGGACAGGGCAGCATTTTCAAGTTACAGCAATTTTTTTTTTCTTTTTCTTTTTTTGCCTGTACACTCATAGCCCTGCATGTTTTCAAAAAGATCTTGGATGCCTTGATTACATAAAAACCTAAAAAGATTATTTGAAGTGGTTTTTTCTTTTCTTCAAAGATTTTTCTTTTAACCTTTGGAATATGAGCTTATGAAAAGCAATTATTCCAAAACTATTAAAGTAATTATTAACTTTGGTGAACCTTGAATCATACCTGAAAGCACCATATACTAGGGATTTGTTGCTGTTAGTCCTCTCCTCAATTCTTGAATGACTTCAGTTTGTGCCAGTTGCTATTGGAGGTTGCACCTGCTTCTTGACCTTGATTAATGATCTCCATTTTTTACTGTTATTTAGAACAGCCTTTCTTCCATTGAATTGAGCTATTCATTTTAAATCACATATAAAAATAACTTAATGAGTATTTCTTGTCTCTTAAGTACTACTCAGCTGAACAAATCCAGAAAATGTTTATTGTGGTCTGTTGTGTGATGCCTTAGTAAGTCATCAGCAGAACAAAGCATTGCAGAACTGCTATTTCTGTGCAGAAGGAAAGCATTAGTGAAACACATCTGGATTATACTGTTATACCACAGTAAGGGCTCCAAAGTACAAGCTAATGAAAATAATGCTTTCATTTGCCATCCAATTAAGATGCTATTGATATTTTAAAGTAGCATGCTCTCAAAAACAGTCCTTACTGACAGAAAAACAGAACATGGTCAACTGTATGCAGATCATTCTAGCTGAGGCAATTTAATATATGTGCATAACCCTCAAAATAGTCAAGATCTGTCTCTGCCTACATGTTAGAATATCACAAATACATTTTCCTTTTTCAGCTGTGCTTTACAATCAAGAAACCAGTAACTCCTTGCTGAAAAATGTTCTCTGAGGCTTGTTTGTATTATAATGACTGACTTCCCCCCACCTTCTTTCTTTATTTTTCCCCCCAGTTCTCGGCACAATTCAGCATGTTCCAGACCATCAAGGACCAGCTAGAGCAGCGGACACGGATCCTGCAGGCTAATATCCGGTGGCAGCAAGAGGAGCTCCAGAAGATACAGGAGCAGCTCTGCCTGGTCCAAGACTCCAGTGTACAGGTGTGTTACTATTGGAAGGGGCAGAGTCAAGCATCCTCTCTCACATGACTTGGCAACTTGCTCCAGAGTACAGGATATCTGGACAAGTGGAAACTAGCTCATCTGAATGAGGATGTTGCCCCCTAAAACCCTCTTTAGTAACTTATGTCAAGAAAGATCTAAGAGCTCTCTGGTAGAAGAGAAGGAATACCTCAGCATCAGGAGGAGGAGAATAATTTGGATCATTTATAATATATTTTATTATTTTATCTACCAAATCTTCAGACTGACCAGCTATAGCTATAGTCTGTAGTAGAAAGAATGTTGAAGTTCAGACTGCCTTGTCACATTAAAACCCCTGAAATTCTGTTGATGTTCATTTGTTCACACCTGGGAAGTATCTGAATTTGTTCTTCACTGGACAGGCTTATGCCTTTAGGGTGAAGCTGACTGAGCCTGCTCTGCTTCTCCCTTTGATACCTCCTACATGGAGGTAGTGTTCTCTAGTACAGTATGTGCTTTGTACCCCTTACGTCTAGCAAACCTCAGAAATAATGGCAAGTGCATTATTTAATTAGTAGATCACAGGTTTCCTTTAACAACAAATGGACAAATCATCCAGTTTTATGGAAGTTTTCTGAATGTGGGGTGATTACTGTTATGTTCCTCATAACTTAACTATAAATGCCTGGTTAAATGATCCTTGCGAGTAATGTGGCACTGGGGACTCTGAGTATTTTACTAACAAGATGATTTTGTCAAGGAAACAAACATCTCAAAGAGTATTTTACGAGCAGGATGCAAAGATGGGACCTACTGAAGTCAGTAGGAAATTTGTTTGCAACTTACAGAAACAGACTTTCACGCATCATCAGCATCTGGGAAATGCAGTTTCACACATTAACAAATTGGGATTGTATGTTTGGGTAATTAAGGGATCAGCAAACTTAAATTATAAACTTTGCCACCTAAGTTGCTGCATGTGCAGTGTTGTAAGACAACACAGCAACTGTGGGTTCCAAACCTGGGACTCCCTGTTCCTGGTGCCATACAATCACATAGGGAAACCAGGTTTAGCTTCAGTGTGTTTCTTCTATTGGTTCTCCGCTGACTTTGATTAATGGGAAGAGAAAATCTCTCTGCAATTAACAGGTATTCAGTTCAGAATCATGTCATATGTCTGAAAGCTATTATTGTTATTATGAATATCAAGAGACATGATATTCTCACTTCCTCTCTTTTTAGCTGGGTGACAACCATTACTCTCTCCTGGTGACATCTTCAATAATCATACACGCTCTTCTTTTTTCATTATTCAGGCAAAAATAGAATTTCAAAGCACATTCTTATATGCAGGAAACAGATTTTAGTTTTAGAAAGCTGTCTCCTATATGCATTAAGGTGCATTTCATGGGAGAGATTCTCAGATACACTCAAAGGGAGCTCAGGCAGAGGCCCAGAGGGTAAATGGTGGGTTGTTCTGTACTTCCCACCCCTTACCAGTTTTTAGCTCTGAGTTACACCATTTGGGTGATGCCCTTTCCCATGAAGACTGCACCAGGTTGGAGTAAGTATTTTCAGACCATTACAAGTTCTCTGGTATCAGTACTTACCATTTACCAGCTTACAGTAGATGCAGAACTGAGAGGCAGGGAGAATGGAAAAAGCTTGGAAATGCAGAGGGCTGCATATATGCCTGAAATGGCAGTGCTGCATGGGGATAATCCAGCAATGCTGGACAGAGAATACAGTCTCTGTATTTTGTGTGCTTTTTGGTCTCAGAGCAGTCAAACAAGGTGATGAGATGCGAGTGATCACACTCACTCCTGGCCAGGGCCTTTTTCTTCTCCCACTTTCTCTAGGTAAAAAAACAAAAAACACAGAAATAAATGACTGTGCTGTTGCAGGGATAGATTGAGGCAAGGAATTAATTTTGTCTTACTTGGCTAGGGGCAATTTGAAAGAAAGGCTCACACTTTCGCATGCAGCTCTTTCATGACTCACAAGCAGCAAGGAGTAAACTGTTAAATCAGAAATCTAACCACGTGCTTTGCCGCACAGATTTCATCATTCAGGGAGCTGGATGTCTGCAGACATTGATCACACTGTGTCTACTATCAAAGCTAAAATGCATAGTAACAAACAGGCTACTATCAGGCACATTTTTGGTGTCTTTAATACACTGCGTAATAGAGCTGTAAGCGTGGGGGAGTGATGTAGGCTGTCTGAACAGGGGGAAGTGTTCGCTGCTTTTCCCTTATTAGCTGATTTATTAGCATATCATCCCCACTGGTTCACTCCTTTCCGCACAGAAGTGTACAGGTAGCTCCATGGAGAATTAAGCTCGATTTCCATTTCCTTCAGAGATCTTCAAAACTGAATACGGCAGTCCACGAAGAAATGCTTTCACAGCCAGACAGATGCTGAGCACAGTAGTCTGCATTAGAAACTGTTTGCGGAAGCCTTGTGCAGAGAAAGATGAAACTATCGGGAGGATTGCAAGCCCTGAATAAAAGTGTTCAAAACTCCATTAAATCTCTGTTACTGCTTTTCCTGACAATGAAGGACAAGAGCAGAAAGAGTAACCTCAGAAGTCTGAAGGATGCTGTGTCTGCTCCAGTTTGAACAGTCTAGCTAATGATTCGCAGATGCAGAGGAAGGCAGAAAGGCTGAGCCTGACCAGCTTGCAAGAACTACAATCAAGACCATCCACAGCCACCCATCATGTGCAAAGCAGGCTCTCTTCTAGGTCCATGCGTCTCAGCTTCCCAATGCTGTGCTTCTCATCTTCATATATTTTACATAAAGAAAGAGTCTTGATGCCTGTAATGATGAACCCAAAAACTATAATCCCCTGATTATCCAAAGAACAGGTAGAGTCAAAGAGATGTTTTGCTCAGGATGCCTTGTCAGTGTGATGCAGTCATTAGCTGTAGGGCCCATCTAACTTGGAATAAGGGGGCAGCAGTGTCAGAGGGTCCCTCCTCTTCCTTGCTGCTTTGCTGTGTATGTTAACAATCTGGCCAATTAAAAAATGTTTGTAAGATGCTTCACTGACCTTGCAGTCCACAAAATCACCAACGAGACATCATTAGCAGCAATACAGTTAGGAGGCTGCTAATTTATCTACTTAGACAGGGAAAGATTTTATTTTTTATGAAAAGGTTTGTCTTGTTATTTAAAGCTGCTGTATTTCAGTGTTTTGAGGGAATTCAGACAGGACTATCACAAAAGAGGCCCATTATAAAAAAAACACCATTAGGTACAAATTAAGCTTTTAGGTTTAAGTAGCAGGTGGAAATTTCCACTCTTCAATTCTCTGTCACTTTAACTCTTGTTTTGATAAGTCAAGTCTTCAGCTCTGCAGGGACATGGTCACCATTGCTTCTCGCTCTGAGCTTGTTTTTTCCAGGTCATTCATGTCCAGAGGGTAACAATGCTGCTTTGGCCATTGTAATGGCAACAGAGAGTCCCCAGGTATGAAACACTTAGAGCCCTCTCAGGGTACAAACATATGAACAAATGAAATTGGCCTCCTGGGACAAGCTTGGTTTTAAATTTATGGTGTGTTAGCTGCTAACCATTAACTGTGCACATTCCTACCCAGTGGCACACTCTGGTAATTGCAAAGTAGGTTACTCTGCTTTCTTTGGAGGATAAACTCCTTGGCCTTTATCTGGAAGTGAGGTAAGCACACAGGGAGGTCCCTGCTAAGTAAGTAGTCTGCTGCAAGTTCACACCCTGCCTGACATTCTCCTTGATGTTGAATTTGCATTGGGTGAACTGAGTGTTTCTCCAATGCCATGCGCCATGTACAAGGAGGACACTAAGTTAATCCTCCTAAAGGTCTTCATTTGCAGTGATCTTTCCAGTGCCAGTGGGCTCACACTCCCTCCTCATCACTTTCTTGACATGCACCACTTGCTTTGCCTGTTCTGAATTCTGTATTAAATTTTATATCAGTGGCAACCTGTTTCACTGCTAGGGCTAATCAAGTGACTTCATGTACTAAACATGTCCAAATCTTAGCTTCTATGTACAAAAAATAAACAAGAAAATGAATTTTCATTATATTTGTCTGTGATTTATTCATAATAAGACCTATTTACTTGGCAGAAGTTGCGAGACCATCTGTCTTTCTGATATGTAATGGCTCCAAACTCAGTGAGTAGTGTTTTTAAAAGAAAACACTCAGAGCTAGTGCAGCCCCAACCTTGTCACTTGACCCATTTATTCCTATCAGACATCTCTGAGATGTGGTTAGCCTACAGCACCTGAAACAAGCTGTTGCTTTTCCTTAATTGCCCCCCTGTCCCAGCTGATTAATGTAAGCTTTGTCGGTACCTTTTTTCCTGGGTAAAATCTTGGCACACAGAAATTAATTAAAAATTTATCATATTTAAATAAGCTGTGTTTTTAAAACTAGATAAGTAAGTACAAACATGATGGATCAAGCCATACTTCTGCAAAGAAAAGCAGTACATTATGTTGGGCCTTTGGAGAAAGGTATGGGCTTTTTCCAGGAAAAATTAGAGGGGACATGATAGTTTAGGGAATTGTTAATATAGCAATAAGCTGCACAAAGGTGTACTAATTACTGGGCATACCTCAGATGTACTGCTAGGCATGAGACTGATGGATGAATAATGAAGAGAATAATTGTGATTCTGATTTAATTTAAAACTTAAGTAGCTTCAGTTAAATTAATAGAGTTCCACACATGTAGCAGTGGTGTGGAATCAGAATTGGATCCAAAAATTACGTCAACTGTGTGGGATGTGTATCTCCATACAGTCCTTGGTGGCAGAAAGGCTAGGTCTGAAATACTGCAAAGAGAGCCTGTAGCATTAATAATGCATGGTTTTAAAAGATTACTTTTCCCTCTTTACAGCTGTAATAAAAGAAATAGCCCCAAGAAAAGCAAAAATTCCCAAGTCCTATAACTTTCAAAGAAGAAAGCTTCATCTTTAAAGGCAGACTTAGAGAGGACATCATTTACAGAAACACTAAGAGAGGAGCTGCTAGCTCTTTTGCACAAGTCAAATGCATGGCACAGTTAGGAAGAACACCAGGTGACAGTTACCTGATGGGAAATCAGATAAATGACAGCGACTGTCTGTTTACACATCCTGTCAATGATAAGGACACGGCCATTCAGCTTGGAGAGCTCTGGCCTGACTGTGACCTCATTAAAAACATTCGACAACTCAGCTGGGTGTAAAGTGTTGAATTTCCAGAGACAAATTCAAAGACAGCTCTGTCTGAAAGGCAGGTGGATTTTGTTAAAAGGAGAAACAAAGGACTGAAAAGACATGGAGTTACTCTCTTCTCTTTGGTCAGGATGCCCCAGAACACAGTAAATGTACTGGGAACTGCTCTTAAGAGGGCTGTGCCTGCCCCATGGAGAGAGGACTTGCACCTTCAAGACACATTTCACAAGAAATGGGTGCACTTGCAGAACAAGAAACCAAGAAACAGTAGAGCTATTAATGTAGGAATGACAGGTGATTTCCAGCTAACAGTAAATTTGTTATTAGTCAAAATGTGTTAACTGTATTTTAGAATATATCCTTGGATTTACTTCTGTCACATTCATTATTCAGGACATCTGGGCTATGTAAATAAATCCTCCCCTCTTCTTTTCCAGATGATCTTACAGCAGCCAACAGTGTCCCTGAGCTTTAGCAATACTCAGCAGCTGGATCCACAACAGCTACAGCAGAGGTCAGGGGCCATTTCTCAGCAGCAGCTTGTCCCCAGTCCTCAACTTCAAGGGCAGATCTCATCTTCACAAACAACAAACCAGCAGTCACTGAGAGAAGCAAGCGTGATATCGAGCCAGGTAATTATTTCTTTGAATAGAGAAGCATTTGGATGGAAAGGAAACACTGAGCTGTTATTAAGCGAGCAAGTAAAATCATGTCAGTCCTGTAACTGTGCCTTTGCCTTCTGTTTCTTATTTTTCCGTATAAGGGCAGCCTATAAAAAGTGTTTCCCTACAGCATTTACCTTACCTTAAAGCTTTTCTTTAAGACCTCAGCCAGGAGGGTTACTTGAGCAGCTGTTTCATCTTGAAAGTGGAGCAGGGGGGCATGCAAAGTGTGTTGGTGACTTACTGTTCTTCAGGTGGTCCTGAAAGAAACCTAACTGATCACACTGGAAACCTGAAATAGTGACAGCTCTCAATACTCTCAGAATGCTCCCTGAGCCCAGTCAGACACCACCAATGAAACAAAGCTTGTCTGCTGAGGTGGCACACAGAATACATTGAGATTCATTTGAGACCCTCAGGCTGTGAGCATTAACAGGTTCCTGCACAGCAAAATAAAGTTCAGCCTGAGCAGTAGCTGAGATCTGTGAAAGCTATTAGGTTTGGCACTGTTTTTTTTGTTCATACTGCTGGTTTCTCACCATTTCCAGTGTTTGCTCTTCTACCCACCTGTTGTACCTCCCTTCACAGAAAACTGAGCTCCTGTTTCTGATTCTTGATTGTGTGGCAAGCATATTTACATGATTGTCTTCAGAGTCCCCCAGCTGTAGCTTTTCACTTCCTACACACCTGTGTTATAATGACTCTATTAAAATAGAAAGTGTATCTTTATAACAAATACAAGACGAGGGGCAGAAACTAATGCACAGGAAGTTCCACCAGAATACAAGGAAGAACTTGTCATTGTGCGAGCGACCATGCAGTGGAACAGGTTGCCCCGAGAGGGTGTGGAGTCTTCCTCACTGGAGATTTCTCAAGAACCGTCGGGGCACGATTCTGTGTAATGTGCGCTGGCATGACCCTGCTAGAGGAGGGAGGCTGGACAAGATGGTCCTTCCAACCTGACCCGTTCTGCGATTCTGTGAAATGGGGGGGGGGGGGGGAAAAAAAAAAAAAAAAAACAACCCAACACTTTTTTCCTTTGATCTCTTCCTGTTAGGGGGCTTGGCGGCAGCTCCCCACGCTTAACTTTGCTCCTGCCTCAAATGGGGGATTGTTTGGGCATTGCCGGGTTTGCTGGCCGGCGGGAGCGGGCCCGGGGCCGCCGCGGGCATGACAGTCGTTTCACGTATGGTGACGGCAGCCGGTGGCGGCACCGCTAGGCACTGGTCCCGGATTCGGGCTGTCTCACCGCTCTCTCCTCTTCCTTGCAGGGCCCGAAGGCGGCGCGGAGCTCGGAGCTGGCGCCGGGCGGTGGCCGCGCCCCGCCCCGCGGCGCGCCCGCGCCGTTCGCCTCAGGCGGCGGCCCCGCGGCGCCCCCTGGCGGCCTGTCCCGCGGCGGCACCCCCGCGCCCGCCGGCTGCAGCCACGACCAGCAGCTCAGGTACGGGCCGGGGCCGCGCTCGGGGAGAGCTGGGCTTCCAGCTTTGCCCGGCGGGAACAGCGATCGCAGCGCCACCAGCTCTTGGGACTGCAGTAATGCACGGGTGGATTAAGATTCCCAAAGTGCAGCTGTCTGACCCCGTAGCGTTACGAAAACTGAAACCTTGCTGCTGGCTTTGAAAAGCACGAGGTGAATTTAACCGAAGTTGCAAAACGTAATTCAAGCATCCATATAATAAAGAAGACAATAATGGTAAAAAGATGTGATTTATTAGGTGTGTGTCAGGCTCCCAGATCATCCCAGAGGGTGGGAGCTGCCCCAGGCTCTGCCTCGCAGTGCCCAGGATGCGTCTGCCACAGCCAGCAGCTGGGCCGGACCTCCTCACGTTCGGCCTTGTGTCGTGCCTGTGAAAATGCAGTTTGTCTTTGCACAGTGTGGAAATTGTAGGGTCCTTCTCTTCCAGCAATGTGACTTTTTTTTTTTTTTTTTTTTTCTCTCATGTGCCAGATTGTTGCTTAGCCAGCCTATTCAGCCCATGATGCCTGGGTCCTGTAATGCAAGACACCCTTCAGACCTCAGCATGGCGGGATCCCAGGCCAAGTATGTGCCTTGTCAAAGAAAAAACATCAAAGTTGCTTTTGAGGGGAAGTACCCTTCTTTTGTAAGATGACAAAGTATTTATAAATATTGGGAATGTGTTACTGCGCTGAGCCTGCCTTCCAGCATCAGGGTCAGCCTTACCCTGCCGGGTCATATCAGGAAGAATGGCAGAGAGAAACACAGAGTGTCTGTGGCACTTTTAACAAGCCATGGCTGGGGGAGTTTTTGTCCCTCACATGCTGCCTGCTTCAGCACTAGAACTTCTGACCCACCAAGGTAAATGTGAGAAAGTCAGCACTGGCTCAGTTAAATGACTGGTGCCGAAAAAGCCTCACCTCAGTTTTGTCTCCTCAAAACTTAGATGAAGGAACCAGAACAAGCTGGTCAAAATATACCTTTTTTTTTTAAGCTGGTTTTTTGTCACTGTACTTAATTGTGAACTCCTAAAATAATTAGAAACTGTACATCATTTCTTTAAAAATAATTCTTTTTACAAAACAGTATTTTTCTAATGTTATCTCAGGAATTTAGGCATTCAGAACTTTTTTTTTTAAACGTCATTATTGTTTAAGATTATCTTGAGTTAATTTGTCAAATGTAAATATTGAAGCTCTGCTTTTAAGCCTCTGATTAAAAGAGGCCTTATTTGCAAAGAGGCATCTCCCAGTTCATGTAGATTTACAGACTCCTGGGACCCTTTTATAGGAGCTCACATCCTCATACAAGTACCCAGACTGTAGCGTTTCTGACAAAACCCTAATGTTGAACAGCTGTTGAGTGAACACAAGTCACACTATGATCTCATCACCCTTTGCAGGATAAACAGAATTAGGCTGGGTTGGCAATAGTTCCATTGTGGTTTTGCCCACAGCCTTCCACAAAACAACACATATTTAAGTTTTGCTTTGCAAAAGCAGAACAGCAAGAGGAGTATTTTGTTTCTGTCCCATCCCTTGTTCCAGAGGGTTTCTAGAGGCTTCTTCTGTTCCTAGAGTGGGGCTCTTAGTGAAGGGAACTGCTGATCGTACTTGGCAATATGTGTATGAGAAGCTTAAGAAGTAATCAACCCTAGCCATGTTCCTGCAGGAGATCACCAACCCCCAGACAGTCACAGTCAGCAGGACAGGAAGTGCATTTGCTTCTCTCTCTCTGCCATTCAGGGCTCAGCATATTAAAACAGAATCAAAGACCATTTGGTTTAATTAGCCTGGGATGTGAATGCTGTGGCTGAAGACAAGATGTGCATAAACCAGAATCTTTAATGAATCTAAAATGTGATCTGGATTCTGAGGTGAGATGTATTCTTCCCTCCAAGTCCAGTTCATGCACAGAGCAAGGGAAGGCAGTGCTGCCAACAGTGCTCACATTAGCAGGTCCCATGCATGGGAATCATTTATTGGGAATTATTTGGGGGTCTCAGCTGCAGCAGAGAAGGCCCAGGGAGACCTTACAGCAGCTTTCCAGTATCAAAAACGGGCTACAAGAGACAGGGGGAGGGACTTTTAACAAGGGCATGGAGGGATAGGACAAAAGGTAGTGAATTTAAACTGAAATAGGGCAGGTTTAGATTAGATATTAGGAAAAAATTCTATACTGTGAGGGTGGTGAGGCACTGAAACAGATTGCCCAGAGAAGTGGTGGATGGCCCATCCCTGCGAGTGTTCAAAGCCAGATTGGTGGATGGAGCTCTGAGTGTAGTGGAAGATGTCCCTGTCCATGGAAGGTAGGTTGGCACTAGACAGTCTTTAAGGTCCTTTCCAACCCACAGCATTCTGTGATTCTATGATTTAGGAAGACTGGGGATTACCATCCCTATTCTAAGAGAAGACCTTTATTTCCAGCACTTTGTTCTTGATTGTTTTGCTTCTTTCTTCCATAGGTATTCTCAAACCCAACAAATGTTTCAAAGTTTGGAAGTGCAGACTTCCAGCAGCAGCTCTCCAATCGTACTGATGGGACAAGCAGTGTTAAACCAAGGGTTCACAACTACCCCTCCTTCCCAGCCATCATCTTTGCCACCTATGCAACTCCAGCACCAACAGCATCAGCAACAACGCTACCTGCAGGTAGGACAAAGAGGCTGATGTATAAAGTGTGCACACAGAGTAACAAGGTAAGTGGGCTGTGCAAATGGGGCCCCAGGTTTCTGCTGCAGCCTGATCCTGGCAGAAATGTCCATTTAAAAGATTCTGATTCTGACATCAGATGTGCGACACATTGCTACAGTGGCTGGTACTAGTACAGCAAGGGAGCAGTCGGAATATTTAAAAGGAAATTACTAATTCTGTAAATTTAAAGCATAATCAGATTATCTTGGATATATTTAAAGTTTATTTCGAGCTGGAGAAAATCAGTGCCTTAGGATTTGTTCTGTACTCTTTATTTAGTATAAAATTTGTTTAGTTTACGAGTCAAAAGATGAGTTTTAATTACCAGCATCAACATAAAATAGATCTGGATCAGATATCTGGATCCCTTCAGGAAACTAACATATTTTCTCAACTCTACAAGGCAAAGAAGATACAGTGGACCACGTTGCCTGGAAGAACCAGGTGATTTGAAGATGTAAAAATACTTATTTTTTGACCTAATTCAACACATGCTAGAGTAAAGGGGGAAAATGAGGTGTCTGTAATAGTTCAGTAGGAGCTGAACTGAGTCTGTAAAGCCTGGTCACATATCCACTGGCACCTCTGAAAGAGTATAACCAACTTCAAATGATTTAAACTCTTGTTACTGAAATGAAATCCTTATCATAGCCGAGAATCAATGAAAAAATTCTGGCAGATACTGTTTCCAATAAAGCATCTGAAAAATTCACATCAACACTGCAAAGTCACACCCAGCTGTAAGCTCAGGAAAAGGAAGGGCTAGAAGGGGCAGTATGAGGCACATTAGGGTCCGTTTCATTTCTGCCATGCATCCGTGTCATTTCTGACATGTTCAGCCATGCGATTCCCAAGGTTTTTCAGGATAACCTGCAAATCCCAGGCAGTGCATTCCTATGAGAAAACCTTCTCAATGCCTAATTGGAATGTTCTTTGTTGCAATTTATGTCCGTTCCTTCTAGTATTAGTTAAGCTAACCTCATGCCAAACAGCTCCAGAAATAAAAGCCAGCAAACCAGTAGTAATTTTTAAGCATCCTGTAACCTGAGGACAAAGAGCATTAACGCGTGAAAGAATCAAACACCACGATAAATTTTACTTTTATCTGTAGGTGCAAACACCAAGTTCTTTGCACAATGAACAACCTGATTCTTTGCTCCTGCCATCTTACTCACCACAGCAAGGAAATATGGGGTATCATCAGATACAGCAGCAGCAGCAGCAGCAGCAGCAGCAACAGCAACAACTAACATCAAGGAGAAGGAACAGTTTATCAGAATCATCAAATTTACCACAGCCTCTGCGATAGAGTCCCACCAGCACAACCAATGCACGATTAGCTTTAACCAATGGGCACATGGGGCAGAAGAGAATGACTTTGTACTTACTGTTCTGGCTTTTGCACAAGCATTTCTTTCCAAGCTTTGTGACAGAAGTACGCCCAGTGCAGACTGCCACAGACAGTGCACTCACGGCACGCTGGCTTCAGTTTGCGCTGTGTCGTGAGCACAGGATATACTGACAGAGCAAAATAAAGAGGAGCACTATCCTGTGGGGCCTCCATCACCACTGGGAGCATGGGAAGAGGCATTCAATCCCAGTGTGTCCCTCTGGAAGCCATCTGGCAATTCCAGAAGACTGTCGACAGACTTATGAGGTACTTGGCCTTCACTGTTTCAGTTCTTCTTTTGTGTATGAAAAGCACTGCGTCAAAGGTCTATCGAGGAGAGAACAAGAGATTATTTTTATTATGATTATTGTTATTATTTTGCACAACTGCACAGATGACAAAACCTAGGCACTTTCTGTAAAGAGAAGTTTGTTTCTTTATTCTTGTGGCCAAATTAGCACATCCAATGGAGGAAAAAACCCAGCCATTGGTGAAAATGGTCTACAGCTCATAACCCTTGATTTAGAATCTGAAAAGTATTATGCAGCTTACCCTAACTGTTCTTCATCACTAAAAACCAACCAACCAAAAAATCAAACCCACAACCACACTGGACTGTTTCCTACAGGAATTGTGATTGCAAAGGAGAACTCAAATTGTAAGCATAGTCATGCAACTCTCCAGTAGTGCAACATCAATCCTTCTTCAACCTAAACTCACCCACTCCAAGTCTTTGAGAAATATGCACTGTGTTTTGGCCCACTGACTCGGGATGCTGCAGACTATTACATATCTCTTTCATTATAACATTTAGGATTAAATTTTCCTTTGGAGGGGAAAAAAAAAAAGAAAATGCACTTTTCGCTTTTTTTGTATGTTTTCCGTTGATATGTTTCTAAGAAAGATTTTATGTAATTATTAAATAAAAAGTAGTGTATTGTACAGCTGTTGTAATAATGACCTATTTCTATATAAAATAAAATTATATGGAATTATGTGGAAATTATTTTGTATATGAAATATCAACTCATTTCACAAGTATAAAGATTGTGCTTGTGCTTTTTTGTGAGTGGGTATTTTGTAATAAACTAATGAATTAGAAATGTTTTTGTGAAGGGAACTACTGTTTCATGCTATATACAACTCAAACTATTATTTTTTTCCATTTAATGATGGACAGTTGTCTTTATTTGTAGAATAAAATAAAATAGCCAAAAGGCTTTATTGCAGGACTTGCACACATTTTCCTGTGACTGTTGAACTATGTGATTCACTTCAGACTTTTATTCCTAGCCACAGACTTGAATGGTGTTCGGCACCCAGTTAGCAAAACCAAGTATTATCCCTTGTAGTTTTTATCATGGCATAGATACTGAGAATGAAAGCTCAGGAAGTGAAATAACTGCAAGTGAAGGCAGCTTGTTTGAAGTACCTTTAAAACTTTAAGCATCTTTAAAGGCCTCAGGCAGCTTTGTACTTCCAACCAAAGAGTTTTATATTAGCACAAAACAGATGAATTAAAGAACAGTTTGACTCAGCATATGCCAGGGCTTTGACCCATGTCCAGCTTCAGTGTTTTAAGACACTGCTGTCCTGAGTTTTGGAGCACATCTCTTCTGGAATAGTCACCCTGTAGACAGTCTGGTTTCCACTTTAGCATCCTTGTGCAGACTCCTTTTCACATTAAATTAATATTGACTACAGGATGGAGCAGCCAAGGTACAGGTTTGCTTTCCCTCTACAGACAGGGAGAACATCCAGCACAGATTGAGGTGGGTAATAGCACAGGAATGTCTTCATTCCCCTCAGTAAGACTAAAAGGGGATGGCCCTCAGGGCAGCTTGCAGCCACTGAAGCCAGCGTTAGGCTCAACAAAGTGCACACATGGCCTTCCCTCCCTTGAGTACCAAGGATCACATCAGCTGGGCCCACGTGTGCTGGTTTCTGTGCCATAGGGGAACAACAGAGGTAACTGGGCTAGGAGATGGAAATAGTGGAAATAAGCTTTCAAGGAAATGAAAAAGCCTTATTTGCTCTGAGTTCTGAAAAAGCTAGAAATCTCCTAAAGAAAATCCATTGACAAAATTATTACCCTGATGCTTCAGCTTTAAGACTGGGTGGTAGAGCTGATGGGTGTATGTGTATTTCAGTCCATACAATCCCTCAGTGAGAGAGGATGAGGGAATCAAGTATTGGGTCTCTAAGAAAAATGTTTTTACTGCTAACTTTAGTTACTAGGGTGAATTAGCCTGCTCATCCCTTTGAATTCTTGCATTCAGTGAAGCAAGAGTGACCCCACCAGATGAAGATTAGAAAGCTAGATGTGAAAGTTTCACTTACTGTCTGAAGGAACCTCCCTCTTTCCATTAATTATAGACAAACCTAAGCAAAGACCAGGTGGCTAAACCAGAGGCTAACTTCATAAATCCCAGTCACTCCTGGAAAAGGAGGGGACAAATCCATAAACCCAAAGTTCATGCAGGAAGAGGTGATGAAGAAACATGAGCACCTCCAAGGAAATACCTGTGGAAGCAGCAGCTGACGGATCTCAGCTGCTATGACAGAAGACACAGGAAGGGAAATAACCTGTAAGAATTCGTTCTACTCTCTGGGATTATAAACCCACATCTCTCCCAATTGTCAGTGGTACGTCCAAACCAAACTCAGCCTTGGTGCAAACACTTAACTTTCTGAAACCAGTGGCACTGTAAGCTGTTAACAAGGAGATGCTGTAAATAGCATGGGATTGCCTTCTTCTGAGCTAGTTTAATACACTGGAAAGGATACAGACAGCTCACAAGAGCAGATTTATGTCAAGACCTAGTTTTTCATGTTCTTCCCCATACACACATTCTGGTTTGGGATTATTGTCCTTGTTCTCTGTTATACACACAAAGCAACGCCAGTCCTCCTGACAGAGCTGGGCCGTTCTAGTTCATTATAGCCAAAACCCAGCTTGTTCCAACATAATCCCTCAGCTCGGGTCCGTTTTCCGGGCATGCGGGGTGATTACAGCAGGCTACTGCCCCACGCCGGGATGCCTCGGTTCCGTCTCGGGAACAAGAGCTCCAGATCTGCAAGAGGCAAAATGCTTGCTGGAAGCACCACTGCGCCAAGCTGACTTCGTCACACACCACCCCAAGGAAAACGGACAGACCCTAAAGAGGAAGCGGGTGGGCGGGCACCGAACATCCGCGGTCCGGGCACACCCAGACACGGCCCCAGTGAACACCCCGGTCCGGGCACACACTGACACGGCCCCAGTGAACACCTCGGTCCGGGCACACACACACGGCCCCAGTGAACACCTCGGTCCGGGGACACACACACGCGGCCCCAGTGAACACCTCGGTCCGGGCACACACTGACACGGCCCCAGTGAACACCTCGGTCCGGGCACACACACACGGCCCCAGTGAACACCTCGGTCCGGGCACACACTGACACCGCCCCCAGGCCAGCCCCTCCTGCCGCCGGCGCAGTCGCTTCCCAGCCTCATCCCGGAAGCGCTCCTGTTTCCCAGCGTGCCCCGCGCGGTCCTTTCCGGCCGGTGCCCGGGCAGGGTGAGTGTGGGCCGGGGCTGGTCCCGCGGAATCCGCCTCCATCGGCCCCGCCGACCCCGCGGCGCGGCGGGAACGCGGCCCGGCCCGGCATGGGGGGCGGCCGGGCAGGGAGGGCACCGGCTGGGATCTACTGGCGCGTCCGCGTTCGGCGGGAATGGGGCTACTCTCCTGCCCTCCCCAGGCCCGGGGAGGCCTGCGGGACTCATGGAACGGGGATACGGCCCGTGCTGATGCCCCTTGGAGGAGCGTGTCTGGCCCCGTCGTGTTCATTCCGGGGCGGGCTGAGCTGAGCTCCTGGGTCGCTTTGCAGAGGGACGGGGCTTGGGGCTGGCCAGGAGGCCCATGTTAATGCGAGATGGTCGAAGAGTCTCGGATGTGCTTCCTGCCCTTCTCAGGGAGACGCAAGTAAAGCATCTGTGATCCTGGGAAGTTGCTACGTGAAGCCTGCGACTGGTGCGACCCCGGGGCTTACGGAGGCTTGGGTTTAAGTTTCTGAATGTGGGAATTGTGCGGTTTGTAATGGGCTGGGGACGGCGGGAGAGAGGGGGACGGGGAAGGCCCGAGATCTGCGTTTGATGTGTACGTGGTGCCTTTCAGCGTCGCTGAGATGGCTCCCGCAAAGAAAGGCGGCGAGAAGAAGAAGGGGCGCTCTGCCATCAACGAAGTAGTAACTCGGGAATACACCATCAACATTCACAAGCGAATCCATGGCGTGTAAGTTTTTTTCAGCGAAATTTGCCGTCTGTGAAGTGGCATTTGGTAATAGATTCAGTAGGTTTTAAAGAGCAGAGAAGGACTGTCCTTAGAGCATTGTGTTTGTGGTCCCTTGTGCCTCGGTTGTGTCCCGAGGCAGCAGCTCTGTACCTGTGCAGCCCCAGACTTGGCTTGTGGCTTTCAGGAATAAGCCCGTTTCTGTGATTGTGAGTGTTCTGGGACTTAAAGTTAGATCGAGTTACTTCTGTGCACTGGTTGTCATTCTTTCCCAAGCAAATGCCCTCTGAGAAAGTTTCAGAAATTAAATTATTGGCTTCATGTTTATCACAAAATTGTATGAGGTGTAGATTGGGATATGATCTGGGTTAAAGGATATTTGTTGTGTGTAAGCAAGAGTAGTTTTAAGAGTTTTAATTGACCAGATGTTGAACCTCATGAAACTGTGTAGTGGAGAAGTGCTTCAGAGGAAACTGCAATGCCGTTGCATTCTGTGTATGCCTGCAAGCACCTGGATGACACCATCCAAATCCAGACAATTGGTGCAGTGGCTAAAGCTAACATGGAATAGGAGAGAAATGAGGCAGTGGAGCACTGCAAAACCGTGGCTGAGAATGGGAGGCAGTGGTACTCTTTAAACGGCAGTAAAATGTTCTGGCCTTACCTGTTGATTGGCACATCTTTCTGTTTTAATGCTCATGATCCTGCTGTCCACCTTTCTTTTTGGGCATGATAGGCGAGTGTTAAATGCTTTTTATTTAATGCTTGTCTCACTTGCGATCAAGTACCCACTTCCCATTTCTAGCACAAAGTATCGACAGCAATATGCACATAATATAACTGAATATGGGACCTCTGGACACTGTGGGACCTCAGGCACTACTGGCACAGCCCCGTGTCAGAGCGTGGGTATAATAGATATGGCAAAACTCGTGGTGCAGCTCTTACTTCTGCTGTGGATGCCCCGTCCTGCAGGGTCTGGCCATAATGGGCATGAGACCAGGCTATACTGGGGAAAAAAACCAGTTCTGATGGTGGTGCAGTCCTGATAGCAAGAAAGAAAATAACCATCAAGTACTGTTCAGCAAAAGCTGATATTCAGATAGCATCAGTTTTATTCTTCTGCTGTTTATTTCAATACTGATACAGTTCTGTCATGTTTATGTTACTATTGCTGCACTGCTTTGTTCATAGGGCTTTTATTCAGAGTGCTGGTGACACTTCAGTGTTAGTGAGATATTCAGATATGTTGACACTAAAACGAAGGCTTAAAATCCAGGAGATCTTGTAGTTGCAAAATTTTACTGAAATTATTCTACCTAAGTATAAATGGTTTCTATTAAAGTTAGCATCTGCCTGCCAGGGTGAAGTTCTAGTCAGGCTGGTGCAGCTGTTAAGCACAATGCTTTGGGGGGTTGTATGTTTGGAGAACACATGGAACAAGTGTCTAGTGCTGACAGTGTCCTGAAGTTAAAGAAATGGCTCTTGTGTTTGTCCCAGGGGCTTCAAGAAGCGAGCACCACGCGCTCTCAAGGAAATCCGTAAATTTGCGATGAAGGAGATGGGCACTCCTGACGTTCGCATTGATACCAGATTGAACAAAGCAGTCTGGGCTAAAGGAATAAGGTGGGTTTGTCACCCCTGTGTTCTGATCAGCTGTCCTGGCATATTTGTAACAAAGCTTTGGTAAACTGGTATTGAAAGAATTTCCT